AAGAACCATGACCTTCCTTGGTAGTGTGGTTTGTGGTTCACCATCCTACAGTAGGGTTCCCTGGGTAGGGCCAGTTGTTTCCCACCTACTTCTTGGCTACCCTGGGAGGAGTGGGCTGGGCATTCTACCCAGGACTGCCTCACACCCCTCAGGAAGCAAGGTCTCCCAGGAACTGTTTACTAAACAGTGCTGGTCTGGGTTGTAGATGATGTTCCAACATCACCCAGAGCCCTCGTCCCACTGCAAGGAGTGGACAGTGTGGTGGTAACCTGGACTGTCAGGGCTAAGTGCCTGAGCGCAGGTAGAAAGAGGGAAAAAATAGGCCCATTCACTCACCTGCTGCTGCCACTCACCTGCCGTTGCACACCCCTGGGGCTGTGGCTTGGACCTACTTCTCATGGCTCTCAGCTTTTTTTGTTGGTCAGTCATGTGGGAGACTGAGGCCCTTCTTGCACTGAAGGCCAAACTTGTGCTGAGGACCCAGGACATTCCAAGCCTCATGTAGGTGTCCTACAGGTTGCTCTCATGACCCACCTGTCACATCGTTCCCAACCCCCTAGTGCCTCATTTCCTGTCTGGTGTTGGTATTTGTGCTTGAACTGGGCACAGGCATAGCAATCGCTCTCAGGTTGCCGCACCTTCCTTTAGAGGAAAGCTGGGGATTTGTGTACTCATGCCCCAGGGGGTGCTGTTGGCTGTGTGTGTGTGTGTGTGTGTGTGTGTGTGTGTGTGTGTACACGTGGACTGGGGCAGGAGTCCCAGCATCCTCTGCCTTCCCAGATTCCCCGAGTCTCCCAGGACTTCTGAGGCCACCGTGTACCGTGTGGCAGGCTTGCTCACAGCCGCCTCTTTTGGCATCTGTCACAGACACCAAATCTTTTGGTCTTCTGGACCTGGTTGCTCATACAGGAAGTCGATTACTCATTCGCTGTGTTTCCCTTCGCTGTTTGTGATGTGGCTCTAAAAATGGAGCTCTAAAACAAATGTGCTAAGTGACGAGGGAGTCGGCAAACACTGGTGCCTGCGCCTCCATGGCACCACGCTGGGATTGGGCCCTGAGAGTCTCCCTGCCGGGGAACCCTCTCCAGTGGGCAATTCTAACTCAAGGGTGTATCACTGAAGTGCTGAAGGTGGCAGTGCCCCTCCCACAGGCCACCCAGGTTCCTTGGAACCATGAGGATCCATGGAGGAGACCTGGACTCCTAGGTGAAAGACGGAATTTTCCTGAGAAGACAGAACTGGAAACACATTTAGAACAAGCTTAGGAGAATGGTTGCCAGAGTATAGTGTGTGTGTGTGTGTGTATGTGTGTTGTGGCGTGTGTGTTCCCCAATGTTGCTTGGAGTTGGAGGAAAAGGCAGCTGGGGACTGCCTGGAGGCTGGAGAGAGGGCGTGGCCAGCACAGCAGGGAGTCTTTGCTTCTTTTTCCCCTCCCTTACCTCCATCATCAGTGTCAGACTGGAGGAGTGAGAGGGTGTGTGTGTGTGGGTGTGGGTGTGGGTGTGGGTGTGTGTGTGTCCCGCCTTCTTGCCTCTTCCGTCTCTGCGTTAGTTGTCAGACCCTGAGCCTGCACCACACGAGCTTAGCTGTTTTCCCGCTCCTTTCTCAAGGGAGCTCTGTGTTCACACAGACACAGCTCCTCTCCAGAGCTTTAGGTCTGATCCTCCTTCTTGTTTGGCAGTGTGCACATGGGACTCCCAGCAGTGATAAAAATAGGCTTCGGGTGTCTCCCAGGAACTAGACTCTTCGAAGAGGGATCACAGTACTCGGGAAGACATCTAGGCCAGAGGACTTGTATAGCCAGATGTAATTTTTATATTCTACATGGCTTTTCTAAGTGGCTGCATTTTCATTGTTTCTAGAAGTAATGGGAAAAGCATCTTGTGAAATCACACTTTGTTTCTCCATTCATTTTATTCTGTAGGCCCAGTTGGTTGATGATGCTCCTCAGTTTCCATGGTGCAAAGGGGAGGGGCTTTCAGGCGATCTGAGAAGTAGACCTCTGTAAACACATGCTTTGGCCAAGAATAGGTGAGGACGCATCAGCTATGACAGGAGGGAGGACCCTGGGTTCTTTGTTCCTTAGATTGCCTTTGTAGGCTGGGGTCTGCCGACCCAAGACTCCCGTGTAATGAGTGTGAGCTTCCTGACCGGTTGAACTGATGCTGTGTCCTTAGTTTCCTCTTGGACCAGAGGCGACTACGTGAAGGCAGGGAGCACACGCTGTTGTTCAGTCTTCCTTTGATCTGAAGGAAGGGAAGGGGCAGGTTTGTGGAGCTCACCTGGATGCTCTGCGTCCTGGTCCAGGTCTGTGGAGGAAGGATGGCCGCATTCTGCTGAGCAAACCAATTTCCTCCTGCTGGGTGACGCTCACACGGAAAAGCCAGACACTGCTTGAGAGTAGTTTTTCTTGTGCCCCTGGTCCTCAGCCTGCCCTCAACATATCAGGGTCATAAGAGGGGGCTGGTGGAGGGGTGACTGTTTTCAAAGCTGTAAATGTGTCACTTCTGAAGTCACTGTAGTGTGTATATAGGAGAGACTGACTGCTTCCAGATGGCACAACTCTGCTCAGCGGCACTTTACCTTCCTTGCAGAAAGCAAACAGAAAGAGAGCGGGTCTCCCAAGCCTTTCTGGGCCCTAATACAATAAGAAAGGCTCGCTGTACTGTGTTGGTGGCATGCTTATTCCCAGTGACTGTCAAGGATTGCAGGCGGCTTACCTCTTGAAATAGGACATTTGAGCCGGGCGGTGGTGGCGCACGCCTTTAATCCCAGCACTCGGGAGGCAGAGGCAGGCGGATCTCTGTGAGTTCTAGGCCAGCCTGGTCTACAAGAGGGACACGCTCCAAAGCTACAGAGAAACCCTGTCTCGAAAAACTAAAAAAAAAAAAAAAAGAAAAAAGAAAAAAAAAGAAATAGGACATTTGAACAAGGAAATGCAATCTGTTCTAAGACAAATATATAGTTGTATTTTTCCCAAATTTGTGATTCGTCCTCTCCTGGAGTTGGAGTTGGTGTGACACTTTCCACAGCTACATCCAACGTGGTTAACTGTGCCACATAGCACATGTCTGTGCCTGGTTCGTATACTCGGGCTACAAAAGCAGGAGCATAACTGTTAAGTCGGAGGCCAGCCTGTACTATCTAGTGAGTTCCAGGCAAGTCAGGACTACACAGCAAAACCTGTCTCAAACCCAGAGTGGAGCAGAAGGATTTGAACAGCAGTGGGGACACCTTTGCCTTATGTCACAGATACGTTCTTGTCCGGCGGGTCTTGCTTTCCTTACTGGAAATTGATTCTGCTCCAGCTCTCCAGTGACAGCACAGGGAAACATGGAGTGTGAGAACATGAGTCAACACAGCACACCTTGATCCCACCCCACCTCCGCCCATTGCGCATCAGTGGCTAATAGTTAGCCCAAGGGTCACCCCAGCACACCCTAAGTTGATGGTTGGACTCTGGGGACTGGAGGGATTGCTCAGCAGTTAAGAGCACTGGTCCTCTTCCAGAGGACCTGAGTTCAATTCCCAACACCCATATGACCGCTCACTGTTGAATTAGGAGCGGCACAGCCGCCCGCACGGCTAGCTTTATACCCAAAATAATTACACGGAAACTGTATTCTTTTAAACACTGCCTGGCCCATTAGTTCCAGCCTCTTATTGGCTAGCTCTTACATATTGATCTAACCCATTTCTAATATTCTGTGTAGCACCACGAGCTGGCTTACCAGGAAAAATCTTAATCTGCATCTGTCTGGAGTGGGAGAATCATGGCGACTGCTTGACTCGGTTTCTTTCTCCCAGCATTCTGTTCTGTCTACTCCGCCCACCTAAGGTTTGGCCTATCAAATGGGCCAAGGCAGTTTCTTTATTAATTAACCAATGAAAGCAACAGATAAGGTACAAGACCCACCTCCATCAGCTCACAAACTGCCTGTAACCCCAGTTTCAGGGGATCCAGCACCCTCACACAGACATGCATGGGAGCAAAGCATCAATGCACATAAACAAACAAACAGAAAACCCTACCACCTCTGGAAATGTACTGTGGTCCATTACTGGGCTGAGGTTCTTGTGGTGGTTTCCGGGGCCAGGGAGGGCCAGTCCTTGAGTACCCGTGTGAGTTGCTGCAGTCCATGGACGTCAGAAAATGTCATAGGTGTCGTGATTGCTGCTGAGGCTGGGGTTGGGGCATGTACGTGCACGTGCGTGTTTGTGTGAGCCCCTGCTCCCTTGAGCAGTGGCGGAGAGTCCACCAGAAATGTTTGGGCTTCTGTTGCACCCTCTCAGACCTTGGGATGGCAGCACAGCGTGAGAGACTGACCATGGGGAGAGAGTAAAGGGAACTGAAGGCCTCCTAGGTGATGGCTCCTGGCCAGGACATGGCAGGGACACTGGGCAGGACTGAAGTGTGAAAGCTGAGTTCTTGGGCACTGTCACACAACTGGCCACATGGACTAGATGGCTGGAGAGCCCCATGACACTCAGGCCGAGTGTCTGAACGAGTGCCTAGAAACTGGGATGGGACCCTTCCCCGAGCCTACCCAAGGCTCCTGTGCTGGAGCTGTGTACGGTCGGACGGCATCTCTAGCTGGGGAACACGGGTTAGTGGCCCAAGGGGAAGTAAGGTGCACTGTGTGGTTTCCTGGGAGGGCTAGATCCAGCCACACTGATGGAATGGGAGGTTATGGAAGGGGGGTCTAGCTGTGGCCACAGTGTGAACTCTCTCTGAGCCTTGGGTGAGAGGTGGAAGTCCCCAGCAGAGAAAACCCGACTTCCTAGTGATCTGGGAAAACAGGGAGAGGACCTTGGTGGGGAAGGGTTTGGCATAGTCACTGACCAGGCAGATACACTGCCCTGTTGCCTGCCCCTGTGGGTAAGGACCTCTGTAATGAGGACGGAAAGCAAGAGAGGTGTGGGAAGTCCGGGCTGTGCGCCATGATTCTGATGAACATGTTGGAGTCCCTGATGTCTGATGTCTCCCCACTGTTTTCCAGTTCTTGCGTCTCCTGCTCCGTCAGCATCACCCATCCAAGGATATGCCTTCAAGCCTCCATCTCGGCCGGACTTCGGCACCTCCGGGAGAACAATCAAACTACAGGCCAATTTCTTTGAAATGGACATCCCCAAAATTGACATCTATCACTACGAATTGGACATCAAACCAGAGAAATGCCCAAGGAGAGTGAACAGGTAATCCTGTCCCTCTGCTTCCCTGACTGACTAGATGCTCCTCAGTCTTGTGTGTCTTCTGACACTCTCCCGGGAAGTCGTAACGTGAGTGCAGTGTGCTCCCACAGTGTGTGTCCTGCTCCAAGATGTTTGAACAGGGCTTCATCCATGCCTTCTTCCAGTTGAGGCCTGCCCTCAAGCCACATAGCTCCAACTTTGTCAGATTTCATTATTCCCTGACCACAGAAGCCTTGCAACAAGGTATCTTAGCCATTGCATCTCATTTTTGTGGCCCAGCATTGTCTTTTGCTCCCCCCCCCCCCCCGTTTTTTTCTGAGACAGGATTTTTCTGTAGCTTTGCAGTCTGTCCAACTAGCTCTTTTAGACCCAGCTGGCCTCACTCACAGAGATGCGCCTGCCTCTGTCTCCCAAGTGCTGGGATTAAAGGCGTGCACTACCACCGCCCAGCTCAGCATTGTCTTTTGAGATTCGCCTGTGTTGTTCTGTTTGTTGTAGTAGTTATTTTAGCGTTGAGTATAGCATTGAGATTCACCTGTGTTGTTCTGTTTGTTGTAGTGGTTATTTTAGCGTTGAGTATATATAGCATTGAGCTGCATGTCTGCATGTGTGAGGGCAGGTACGTGTCCATGTGTATACATGTGTATGTTTAGGCCTGAGGTTGAGCAGCTTCCTTGACTCTTTACTCATGGAGGTAAGGTCTGGCATTTAATCCACAGCTCTCTGTTACTAGTCTAGCTTGCTCTGGAACTTCCCTTTCTCCACCAGTGGCTGCCCTGACTAGCTGGCATCTGCATGGTTCTGAACTATGCTTGTGTGGCAAACATTTTATCCACCACGCCATCTCCTAGCCCTCACTGAATATTTGATAATTTACCCTTTCATCTTCCTGTTAACACTTGGGTGTGTTTTTGTTTTGTTTTGTTTTTTTGTTTTTTGGCTGCTGTTAGGAATGAAGCTCTCGTTAGCGAAATACTCCCTTCTTTCCTGTCTTCCTGTTCTGAATGGACATGGGCTTTCCTTTCCCCATAATTGCCGGGGCAGGAATGAGTTTCACTACCTGGGTGTCTATCACGCTTGTCCCAGGCAGGCGCAAGGTTCGGTTTCCATCAGCGAGTCAGGAGAGCTGGCTGGTTTATCCACACCTTGTCAGCATTTGAGCCATTTCTGATTCTCTCCTTGATGTGCTGGCTGCTCCCTTGGCGTTACTCATCCCCTAGTAACAGTTGATGAACATCTTCCCCCTTCCTCACGGGCTGCCGATACCTTCTGTCCTGTTGTCTTAATTCATAGGGTGTCCTTTGCCTCTGCATGATCTGGGGGGTCTCTGGCAATAATTATCCAGTCTCAAATTTGTTTTCTTTGCATATTAGATTTTTTTAATTCATGCCTTTTAATGAATAAAATTTCCAAGTTTTATTAAAGTCCGGTTTATAAACTTTCAGAAATTACAGGTGTCCTCTCTCCAAAGTCTGTGGCAACAAAGGTCATAAAGATCCTGTTTTCTTTGGAAGATTTACAGTTTGGGCTTTTGTGTTCAGATCTGTGCCCCATCCTGAATTGGTTTTTGTGTGTAGCGTGAGGTTTGTTATTGAAGAGACTTTTCGGTTCCTGTCTTATTTATCACGTTGCCTTTGAAAGGAAGGGTCAGTCAGCCATGCGTGTGGCTGTTTTGGTGCCTGCTTTGGTCTCTTACTAGGCCAGTAATTCATCAGCTTGTCTTGTTTATGGTGCACATGCTAGCCAGTGCTCAGTCTTAACTCTAGGCTGGAATTTCATACTGCTGCCTTCTCCTAGTTTGTTTTTCCAAAGCTAGATCTTTGCTTTAAACAATGAACAAAGAGAATAATAAGCAAGAGAATAATAAGCAGGGAAAAGCCAATTGCCTTTTAACCAGAAAGTCCTTTGAAATTCTAAATTATTACTGCTTTGAATCTAAAGTATTATATTCTTTGCTTTTGTAAGTAACATCCTAAAATGTTATTTTCCAGACTCAGATGAGCGGCAGCCAAAGAGCACAGAGGCTGATTGGGGACGATGGACAGGCGTCAAACTTAAACTGGGGAGGGGGGGCGTCGTCAAAATCACCACTCACCAAATCATTGAATTATACACTTTGAAGGATGAATTTTATGTGTTAGTTCATTTAACAATTTTTTTCCCGTTACTCTTTGTCACCATATATATATATATATATATATATATATATATATATATTAAAGATTTCTGTCTCTTCATTTAACAATTTTTATGTATTTGAATGTTTGCCTATGTATATTGTATGTGTACCATGTGTTTTGTGGTATCCCTGAAGACCAGAAGGAATAAGATCCCCTGGAACTTGAGTAACAAGTAGTTGGGAGTTATCATGTGGGTCTGGGAACCAAATCTGGTCCTCTGCAAGAACAACAAGCATTCTTAACACTGAGCCATCTCTTTAGCCCCAACTTTAGCATGGTTTTTAATAAGGATTGTTTGACTTCTTTCTTTCCAGTGTGCAATACATCTTATTTCTTTCCTTACTGCAGAGTGAGGAAACCCAGCTGGATATTGAGCGTAGGCACTACAGAGACCACCCTTGTCCTGTTCCTGATGTTAATTTCGAAGTAGTCAGTTCTTCATCTTTAGGATGTGCTATTAGAGGATTTGCAGAGAGAGTCTCCGACAGTCAGCTGAAGAGTTGGTTGTTGGTCATATCTTGTCTCTTTTTTTCATATTAGCATGAGTTGTGGCTTCTAAAAAATGAGCCGTGCCTGAGAATCATGTTTTCTTTCTATATAGGACTGGTTTGAATTTGTTTCTGTGGAATGAAGATCTGTAATTGTCTTTTGTTCTATTTTTATGTAGCATCTAATTCAGAAAGTTGCAAACTAAACTGTTTCTTCTTTGTATACTGTAAGAGCAAAGACACAGGACCAGGGAGATAAATTGCTCAGTAAAGCGCTTGTCAGGCAAATGCAAGGACTTGAATTTGAATCCCCAGAGCCCACATGAAGCTGGAAGGATATCTGTGGCTATAATCCCAGTGCTCCTGTGATGAGGTGGGAGGAGGAGACAGGAGAGGCTAGCCTGGTCTATTAGGCAAAAGGACTTGTCTCAAGGTAGAAGGTGCCTTCTAACCTCCACACACGACCTCACACACATAGATTGGAAGAAAAAAAAATATGATTTCTGTAATTGTACCTTTAAGTACCTCCTGAATGTCATTGAAATGGGCTAGTTTGGGCCAGTAACAGTGTTTGTAGGAATTGTTTTCTTCAGCTTAGGTTTTCCCTCAGTATCAGAACACCCTTTTCTGTTTCATTTTGTGCATACTTGGGGAGTTTGTCTTTTCAAGGAGTCTACACATGTCATCTGAGTTACTGAATTTTCCAGCAGAGAGTTGTTCATAGTATGTGGTGAGGGCGTGGGTGTGCAAGTGATTTTTTTTTTTAAACAGGCTTTTGTATAGACTAGGTTGGTCTGAAACTTAAGAGATCTGCATGCCTCTGCCTCTGTCTCCCAAGTACCAAGTTCTATGTATTCTTTAGTGTTTATGGGTCCTGTATGGAGCCCCATTCAGCCTAAGTGTTTTACATTTCTGTGTTTTCTCCCAATCAGGTTTGTTCAGGGGTTGCAGTGTCTCAGTTCTTTGCCCAGAAAAAGTATTTTGCTTTGTTGACCCTCCCCGCTTCGGTTTTTTTGATCCCCATCCTTTCCCCGGCTCAGTCTCTGTTCACATGGTCGGTGCCAGCTGCTTTCTTCTGCAGCTTCTTTGCACAGAACCTTCCCTGAGTCGGTCTCACTTGTAGGCGTGCATGCTGCCCAGTCCCGAGAAGCATTCCCCATGGTGGAGGCAGCTGTGCTTTGCTCTTGGGAGGAGGTGGTTGATAATTGTAGCCCAATCATTTACAGTCTTTTATTTTTCTCGTACAAATAAGATAAGGACTTGCTTCTTTTTCCAGAAGTATTTTCTGATTGTTTGTGCTTTATGTATTCTGAAGCCCTGTTAATAGTTACTGTCTATAATTATTGTACCTTTTTGTTTTTGCGTGCACACACACACACACATGAGCACGCATACTCAGAGGTTAAGTTTTGGAAGCTGGATCTCTCCTTCACTTTGTGGGATCCAGAGATAGAACTTAGGTTGTCAGATGCAGCAGCAAGCACCTCCACCCCCTAAACCATTTCCCTGGCCCTAAACTTGCATAGTTTTTTTTGTTTTGTTTTGGTTTTTTTGTTTTTGTGACAGAATTTTCACTATGTAACCTTGACTGGCATGAAACTCTCTGTATTATAGACCAGGTTGGCCTGGAATTTGCTGAGATCCGCCTGCCTCAAACTGAGTGCTGGGATTAAAGGCATGTGCCATCATACCACAAACTGATTCTTCTTTAATTAGGAAATGCCTCCTTTTATATTTGATAATTCTACTTAGTGATTTACACTAAGTCACTAAGTGTGGTGGCTCACACTTGGAATCTTATCACTGGGAGGCCAGGACCGGGGAAATCACTCTCATTTTGAGGCCTCATATATGAAGAGTTGTTTTGGGTTTTTGATGTTGTTTTTTTTTTTTTGAGACGGAGTCTCTGTGTAGCATTAGCTGTCCTGGAGCTTGCTCTGTAGACAGGGCTGGCCTTGAACTCTGTGGAGATAGATCCTCCAGCCTCTGTCTCCTATTTAAAGGCATGCGCCACCACCACCCAACCCTAGAATTGAATCTTTATGTAGTTTTCAAGGCTGATGCTCAGAATTGTAAGGCTTGCCAGGAGGCACCTTTATCCACTGAGTCATTTTGCGAACCCAGCTTTTAATTTAAATGTTTTATTACATTTATTTATTTCCTGTGTGTGTGAGAGAGATGGAGTATGTGTCTTACTTAACAGTGTGCACGTGGAAGTCCGAGCACAGCTTGGAAGAGTTGGTTCTCTGTTCCCACTGTGTGGGTTCCAGCAATTGAACAGCCTCTGTTTCTGAGGTCAGGCTGGGTGGTTCATGTCTCGTTTAAGGGAACACTGATCTATATAATAGCTTCCAGAACAGCCAGGGTTACATAGTGAGAGTCTCTCTCTCTCTCTCTCTCCCCCTGACATACTCACAAAAGAAAATAAAAGCTGGTCAGAATAGTTCACATGTTGTCATCTTTTTTCTTTAATGTTCTTAAATTAATTTTATTTATTTATGGGTGTTTTTTGTGGTTGTTTGTTTGTTTGCTTGTTTTTTTCTGTGTGCTTGCATGCCATCTGTATGCCTAGTACCAGCAGAGGCCAGAACCGGAGTCATGTCCTCTGGGACTGAAGTAACAGACAGTCGTGAACTGCCATGTGGGTGTTGGGAATCGAATCCAGATTCTAAAGAGCAGCCAGTGCTCTTAATCTGAGCTAACAAGCAGTCCCTCTTTTTGTCTTTGAGACAGTTTCTGTGTGTAACCCTGTCTCTCCTGGAACTCACCTTGTATACCAGGCTGACTTCAGACTCAGATCCGCCTGCCTCTGCCTCCCACGTGCTGGGGTTAAAGGATGGACTTCTACCGCCACCCAGCCCCTCTTATTTTTAATATTGCTTTCCCATTATTTGACTACGGTGTGCCCATGTGTAATTCTCATGGGATTCATGTTTCTTGGACTTGAATCTTGACTTTTTGTGTTGTATAGGACAATTCTGGTCTTAGTTTCTCGAAGCCTCTTTCTCCCTTTTCTTCTGAATCAATGCTCTGCACATGCTAGGCCACAGGTATCTCCATCTGCTTTCGGTCAGGGGGTTGTGATCTAAGAAGCAAAATACTCTGGTTTCAGTTGGGGTGATTTTTTTATTGCTTTCCCTTGAAGATTGGGGGGGGTGCCTGCACGTGCATAAGTGGATGTGTACGGGAGCCAGAGGCTCACCTTGTGTCGTTCCTCCTGTGCTGCCCTTGTTTGGAGTCAGGTTCTGTCACTGGATCTGAAGCTTGTTAGTTAGGCCTGGCTGGGCGGCCTGTGACATTGCTTCTCCAGCACAGTCATTGAAACTTACTTCCTCAGTCTGTGGCCAGCACTTCACTGATGGAGCCATTTCCCTTGCCCCTGAAGATTCCTTTCGGGCTGTTGAAACCATCAGTAAACTATGCATTTGTGCTTGTGGACAGCCCCTCCCCGTCACTCATGGCTGAGTGTCCTTTCCTTGAGATGCTGTATGCTATCCCTCAGTCACCCTAATCCCCAAACAGCTGCTTCCTGTTCCCAGTGCACATTTTAAGATAAGAGGCTAAATCCAGAGCCAAGTACATCATGGGAGATCCGTAATCTGAGTTACAGACTGTTGTCCCTGTGGGTACTGGTACCTGGTGAAGAAAGTCAAAGTCCACTTTGCTGGTGCACCTTCTCCTGTCACAGCTGCTGGGGAGAGGACCTTGCCATCTGACCTGCTGGACATCAGATGAGATCCTGTTAATGTGCTCCTGTGACAAGGATCTTTCTGCACAAAAGCCACAGGCCCAGCTGGGCTGAGCAGCTGTCAGTGCTGAGGATCTTCCAAGGTCTTTTATTTTGTCTCAGTGAAGACTGATAAGTGGGTGTGTCGGTTTGCTTGCTAGCTTCTTGGGACAGGAACTTGGGGGCCTCAGTGCTGTAGCACATACCCTCCAGACTGGAGAGAGGGTGGGAAACGGCACTGTAGTTATCTGGGCTTTGCGGTTCCCATGAGGCTCTTGTCATGCCATCCTCGGCATGCAGGAACCCTTTCTGAAAGGAGGCGTGACTCAGGCTTGCATCAGGCACTGGCACGTGGCTGGCGATGGGCACGTGATCTGTCAGCGTCAGTCTGTAAGAAGCCTAGGTTGCCATGGTTAGAAACTGCGTCAGTTCAGTTACCTAGCAACTGAGGGGGCTGGAAGCTACAGGCCGAGGCCAGAGCCAGCCCACCAGGCTTGCAAATTATTGTGAGAGCTTCTGGCTGGTTAAATATGCAAACATTTAATGATTTTCATTTTGCTGTTAATTGTAGTATGCCTTAAGTGGGTCCAGTCTCAGGATTCTGATGGTCAGAGTGGTGTGTAATCTTGGGAACGGTGCTCTCCTGATTGTGGGATCTCCCGTCTTGAAGCAGGCCAATATTCTGTGCTTGCCCCAGTGATGCTGTGTACACCAGGATCCCATTCCCGTCCTTCGTGGACAGTGAGGCGGTGGACTCAGCAGGAAGGCATCTCCCTGCTGATTTCATGCTTCATCCCTTTCCCATTGTTCATGCACAACCACCTGTGTGAAAGCCGGCATGGCCCAACCTTGGTTAGCTCACGATCTGTCACTGTTACTGCTATGCCGCTGCGGTGAGTCCTGTGTACCTCACTCTCCAGCAGCGCCTACGTATGTCCCTCAAGTTCAGTCCTGCCCACCCTAATAAGAGTCCCATATGGCCAGCCCTCAGGAGACAGCTAGGCCCCATGTTGCTTGAGGACAAAGCTAGACTAGCCCAAAATGGCAGTTACTTCAGGGGAACTGTACACCAGCTTATCGTGTCCCTTTCCTTGTGGCCATGCCTTAAGCCCCTCCTGTGGTATAGACTACTCTAGAGGTTTTAGAAGGCAGTTGGGTACATATATTAAAGTAAAAATATTACATGCCCCCTGGCCTGGTATTTTAAAGTGATGCTCTCAAAGGGATAGAGAGTGTCAACCGTAAGAGACACCGGAGTGTGATCAGTGGCTGACCCAGATGTCATGGCTGGATAATATCTGCCATTTATAGGCAGGGTGGTTTCATGGCACATAGTAATAAGGACATATTTCTTAAGGTCATATAGTAAGACAACGTCAGGTCCCAACCGACTCAGTATAAAAACACAGCACTGGAGGCCATGGCAGGAGGCTTAGTGAAGTCCACAGCACCCACATCAAACAATAACAACCACCCGTAGCTCCAGCTGCAGGGAGCTCCAAGTGCAGGGCACTGCACTTGCATGCACACACCCACACACAAGGCATGTAATTAAAAATAAAACAAAAATGTTTCTTTCAAAAAATAAAATACAAGAACAATTTTTAAAAATGTTGACGGGTCTATGAGTAAAAGCTTGGATTGTTCCTTCTGAGAAGGCTGGGCTAGGCATAAGTCTGTCAAAACGACGGTGCAGTAACATAAAACCTGCATAATTATAAATTAACGGAAGGATGTGGTTTATGTTTTATTTTTTAAAGAAACTTCCAGAACTCTAGCAAAAGTTTAACAGTCAGCATGGTTACTGCCCAGCAGTTTCTGGGGTTTCGGAAGTAGGATAGAGGAGAGACAGGTCTCAGTGTCCTTGCGTATAAAACACTGATGGCAGTGTGACCTGTAGTTCTCAAGAGGTGAGAGAGTTGTTCCCCATCAACAAGGATAAGGCCCAGTGGCCTCTACTGTTGTCTTTGTGTTCAGCATGCAGGCTGTTCTTGGGCACAGGGCACAGGTGGTCCCATGGGCTTATGGTGACAGCTTAGTGAAGTCAGAAATCAGGGCGTGTCTGGTGCAGGGCTTCCTCCTAGATGTCTCTGCAAATACTCTGCTTGGCTTGAGCAAGGGGGAGTGAGGGCTTTTCTGGAAAAATTTGGTGACGGTTATACTCATTAGGTTGGACGTTGTGCCAGTGGTTGCTGTAAATGGGGTGTGCCAGAAAATGTGGTCTGTAGACAATGGAGGACTCTCAGGCTCACAACAGAGGTATGGGTGTCCAGTCTACAACTTTGGGACAGAAATTCCAACAGCTACCCTTCAGTGTACCTGGCACTTTGAGCTTATGGTGACATCTACCATCTGACCTGTGTTAATTCACTTGGATGTTCTGCCACATTTGTGTGACCGGGAAAACGAGACAAGCCCAGTTCAGGTTCTTGGCTGATTTTACCTTAATGCCTCCACTCTGTTGCCACCAAAGGATGGGATAGCCGCACGACAGGCAGAAACCATAGTTTTCTAAAGTGGCTTCAAAGCTAGTTTGTATCAGACAGACACCAGCCCCCATGCCACCTCTTCGACTTAATCAACATTTCGCTGAATTCTCTGTTTCAGGGAAATAGTGGAGCACATGGTCCAGCACTTTAAGACCCAGATCTTCGGGGACCGGAAGCCAGTGTTTGATGGAAGGAAGAATCTGTACACTGCCATGCCCCTTCCAATCGGCAGGGACAAGGTGAGGCTGTGAGTGCTGGGGCCCAGTCCAGCTAGTAGTGTGAGGTTCAGACTTGGTCCAAGGTTACTCATTTCTCTAATGTGTAAAATCACTTCATCTGGACAGCCAGGGCAGCTGCTCGGTGGGGCTTCATCGTGAGGAGTATGGTGTGCGAGGTTTGCAGTGAGGCTGGTGAAATGTAAAGCATACTCACAAGTGCAACCCACAGACCACACTGTGTGTGTGTGTGTGTGTGTGTGTGTGTGTGTGTGTGTGTGTGTGTGGCTGTGGCTGTGGCTGGCAGTATAACAAAGAGGATGTGCTGCTGCAGCGGCCTCCTCTGCAGTGAGGAGGAGGAGGGGGATGAGTCAGGCTGGTGGCCGTAGAAAATGGTTACCTTCCCTTATTAGTTTTATCTTTATCTTCGCTTTATTTAAAAAGTAATAAAGCTTGTGCCCAGTCTTTGACACATCTGAGAATGAAGGAACTGGCACAGTTTCTACAGGTCTGAAAATGGCTGTGTTGCTAAGTGACCAAGTTCCTTGGTTCATCTGCGCCTGTCTGTATCCCCAGTGGGGCCAGGCAGTCTCAGTACCTGGTGGCTCTGCTCCTTGTCACCATGCTGACAGGAATGTACTATGTTAGGGCAGGGAGAGGGCCAATGATTACATAGCTCTGTGTGTCGTGTTCTGATCTCGCTTTTCCCAGTCACTAGTGGCACGTGGGTTGTCGCTGCCACTCTGCGATAGGATGATGGGCGTAGGGTTCTGAGTTGGAGGAAATCCCAGGACTGGGTGTGAATGAGTGAGCAGCCTCTCCTGGGCAAATTAACAGGCTGTGAATTTGAGATTTATTGATCTTAAGGTTTTGTGTTTAAATTGCACATTTGTTTTTGTTTAAAGCTCTATAAGAAAGGAAAGCATAAGGAGTTTATTCACAGTTTTGTTGGTACAGATTTATAATTAGACACTAGGAGGAGCATGAGGAGAGCCCTCATGAAGGAATGAAGGAATGGAGTCTCTGCTGCTCAGATGCAGACACACAGCCCAGCCTGAGGTGAAAATAGCTGTGGGTGTGCCTTTCTTAGCAACGCGACGTGACATAAGCCACTTCCCCTTGCCAAGCCAACTACTTCTCCAGGGCAGATTGGAGCGCTGGTCTGGGATAGGCAGCCCCACTTCCCTGTGTGTGTGTGGTCCATCTCGGTCTCAGACGCAGTGTGGGACTGCATCACAGGGCTGGAGGCTGTGTGTGCTCCTCTGGTCCCACAGTGTAGTGCAGATAGCAAGGATAGTGTATGTGATTACTGCCTGTTTGCACTAGCCTGCACACAGAGCATCTGGGGTCCCAGAGAACTTGGGAACCTTCCCGCTAGCGCAGGAGTTTCCCTTTCTTTTCCTGTGACCTTTTTCTTTTGTCATCTGTAGTAAGAAAGGATTCTCCTTGACTCCATTAGCTTAGCATCCACCTAGTGGCTCAATGGGGAATGTAATACCTGATAAGGGCACATGCCAGCATCCGTATCCTACCACCTGCCCAATGAGCAATCCTCTCCAGAACTCTTCATTTCTCCCTGGTCTTCACATCACTGCCAGCCCATTGGAAAGAAAGCCACTCCTTAGGACAGAGAAGAGTTGTGTCCACCAAGCCCATGGCCTCACTTTGAGATGGGATGGAAGTTACATACGCTCACTCTAAATTTGGGACTGAAGTCCTCAGTCTCTTTTTACCTTGGCTCTGTGTCCTGCCAGCTACCTGTAGGTTTATAGCTTCGGAGCTGCTGCCTCCTGGGCCAGGAAGAGCTGAGTGTCTCCTTCTTAGATGGAAGTTATAGCTGAGCTCCAGCTCATGGGAACCCCTGCCTATAGCTGCTAAGCCGATCTGAAGGTGTCCAGTAGCCTGGATCCTCTGGGAAGGGGAGGCACAGGAGGCTTCCCCAGGGATCCCTGTGGTGTTTATACTTGGGACTTGCTGCTAAGAACTGGGATACGCCTAAGGACATCCACCCGTGTGTCTCTGCCTAGTCCTTCTGGGGTGCTTCTTCACACACACACTGGGGAAACTGGTCTTGCTACAGGAGGACCACCGTTCTAGCTTTCTGTTGCTGATAACACATGATGAAGCAACTTGGAGGGGAAAGGGTTTACTTGGCTCCCATGTCCTGGTCGTAATCCATCCCCAGGAAAGGCAGGTGAGGAATGCAAAGTGGGAAGAGAGGCAGAACCTGAAGCAGAGGCCATGGAAGAACCATGAGTACTAGCTTGCTCCCATGGCTTGCTCAAGTAACTTACTTACAAGGTTTCTCTGTGGCTTTGGTTCCTGTCCTGGAACTAGCTCTTGTAGACTAGGCTGGCCTCGAACTCACAGAGATCCACCTGCCTCTGCCTCCCGAGTGCTGGGATTAAAGGTGTGTGCTACCACTGCCCGGCTCTACTTACTTTCTTATACAACCCAAGACTGCCTGCTTAACTGTGGCAGTGCCCATGCTGTGCTGAATCCTCCCGTATTAATCATTCATCAAAATCTCCCTATAGCCGGGCAGTGGTGGCGCACGCCTTTAATCCCAGCACTCGGGAGGCAGAGGCAGGCGGATCTCTGTGAGTTCGAGGCCAGCCTGGTCTACAAGAGCTAGTTCCAGGACAGGAACCAAAAGCTACGGAGAAACCCTGTCTCGAAAAATAAAAAAAAAAAAAAATCTCCCTATAGATCACAGCACAAAAGGTTTTACCAATACAGATTATTAATTCAAACACATCACACCAATGGCTCTGATAGTCTTTGTTTCCCCTTGAAACTTCACAAGCCAGGCTTCCCGACCACTGCTCTCAACATCCTTATCTTCCAAATCCAGTACTACAGCTCTTTAGGCTCTGAGCACTTCCAGGCAAAGCTCTAAATGCTTCCAACAACCATTCAAAAGAACACGGTCAGGTCTATCGCAGCAACACCCCAGTTCTGATTTCTCTTTCTCTCTCTCTCTCTCTCTCTCTCTCTCTCTCTCTCTCTCTCTCCCCTCCCTCCCCCTCCCCCCTCCCTCCCCTCCTCCCTCCCTCCCTCCCTCCCTTTCGTTTTTCCAAACCGGGTTTCACTGTGTAGCCCTGGCTGTCCTGGAACTTGCTATATAGACCAGGCTAGCCTCAAACTCACAGAGATCTGCCTGCCTACTCTGCCCCCAAGTGCTGGGATTAAAGGCATGCACCACCACCACTCAGCCCGACACCAATTTCTATTCTTGTTCAATTTCTGTTGCTGGGATAAAAACAAAAGCAACTTCGGGGGTGGGGGTGGGTTTATTTGATAAAGGTCAAATATTATTGAGAGAAGCCAAGGCAGGAGCTTGGAAGCAGGGACTGATGTAGGCGCCATGAGAGAGCATGAATCACTGGCTTCTCACCTTGGTTTTTATACAACCCAGGACTACATGCCCCGGGGGCAGCTCCACTCAAAGTGGGCTGGGCCCTTCTAGATCAGTCTTTTATTAAGAAAGTGCTCACAGGCCAATTCGAGATTCCTATTCCCAGGTGATTTTAGTTGTGTCAAGCTGACCATAAATAAGACCGAAAGAACCTATCCAACCAAGGCTTTCCCAGAAAGCCTTTAGACAGCAGCTCCCTGGGCACATTGAAACAGGATATGACCTGCACGTCCCCATCAGGAAAGGATGCATGGCACCAAGCCCTGCAGCTGTCCCTCCAGCCTGGCCAGCACAGTGGTTGTGACATCAGACACCTGCTGGTGCTGTCACTCCTTCTGTGGGGTTGGGGGTAGGTGGCCCTGCAGCTGAGAACAGAGAAACCTTGAAGACACAGCTGCTTCTGTGTTCACAGCTCCCAGACACTGGTTCTTTGTGTCAGGGTGCAGCTGGTTCCTCCCTTGGTTTCCGAGTGGTGTGCTGTACCAAAATGCACTTCTTTTGTTCTCAGTTTGATTCCTTCTTGCAAGGATGTCCAAACAAGAGCTGCTTGGTTCAGTATCAGTGTCCTCCAAGGTTGAGTCTGTAACTAGCTCACCATCTTCCCTACCCAGGTTGGTACCATGTGATGTCCCAGCCATCCTTGGGTTCTGGGCACACATCTGGGTTGTGTTTCCCTGTGAGTGGTGGCAACAGGCCAGCCCCAAGCCCAGTACACTTTCTGCCCTTTCCTGGCCCCAGGGCCTTGGGCTGTTTGCTAGCTCAATGTCTGGTGATGCATATAAGATTAGGTGAGCCTGTCTGGGCACTAAAGGAGAAAGCATTCCAAGAACATGGGACATGTCAACAACAGATAACAAAGTCACTTTGATCACCACCCGAGTGTTTTGTGGGCCACAGTCGTGGTGCACTGTCGCAGGCATAAATCACAATGGTGATCCAGCCGTGGACATTACATTGCAGGTAGATTCAGCAAGTGTTCTGGGAGAAAGGTGGGTATGTTGGAGTCACGGGCGTCCTATGTGCTGAGGAGCAACCTGAATGCACTCTTGACCACTGTTCATTATGTGCATTTGTTTTTTTTGTTTGTTTGTTTGTTTGTTTTTTGGTTTTTTGAGACACTGTTTCTCTGTGGCTTTGGAGCCTGTCCTGGAACTAGCTCTGTAGACCAGGCTGGTCTCGAACTCACAGAGATCCGTCTGCCTCTGCCTCCCGAGTGCTGGGATTAAAGGCGTGCGCCACCACCGCCCGGCTATTATGCGCATTTGTTAAAAATAAATAAAATTGAGGCTGGAGAGGTGACTCCGTTGGTAAAATGCTTGTCGTGAAAGCAGGGGCACCTGAGTTCTGTCCTTAGCACCAGATGGAGGGGACAGAGTCAGTTTGGAGATCCCTGGAACTCACAGCCTAGCCAGCCTATGCTAATCAGCAGGCCCCAGGTTGGAAGAGAGGCTGAAACTTCAAAGGGGAAGCAGTTGAGAAAGGCACCTGGTATAGACTCCCGACCTCCTCTACACATGCACACCCCTGCCCATACTCAAAGTAAAGTTAAAAATATAATTTCTTGTGCTTTTTGGGAGGAAATGACCTTTGTGCTTTGGTTTGCAGGTGGAACTGGAGGTCACGCTGCCGGGAGAAGGCAAAGACCGTATCTTCAAGGTGTCCATCAAGTGGGTGTCATGTGTGAGCCTGCAGGCGCTACACGATGCACTTTCGGGGCGGCTTCCCAGCGTCCCTTTTGAGACGATCCAGGCCCTGGACGTTGTCATGAGGCACTTGCCATCCATGAGGTGAGAGCATCAGGTGGGTGGGGAGAAAAGACCACAAGCTGAATGAAGCTGAGTGTTCTCAGAAAGGTTGAGGAGCCAGTGGTGGGCACACTTGCTCTGTCTGGGGCGAACAGTCCAAGATGGAAGAAGATAGTGTAAGAGTCGTCACCGGTGCCCCTGCCTAAGTGCAGAAAGTTCACCTCTCTGGCTTGGCGCTCACACAGCCCTGTGCAGAGTCGAGAGCAGCACTTGGATGGCGCAGTGGACACTCACATGGTGCTTGATTGGACGCCCATCCCTGGGATACTTCTCTGCTGCTTTTATGACAATGGCTAGCACCAGAGGCATCAGCCAGTTTGTTAGAGGATCATCCTTTGCCACACCTAGCAAGGGGGTGGGGATCATTTCTGTGGTTTGTCATTTTCCCGCTTGCCCGACAGAGTGACTAGCACACGGGACCAAGGCCTGGGAGCTGCATCCAAGCTTAGCTCTCACACGAAGCACACAGTAGGACTAGGAATGGTGGGACTGGAACTGGAAGGCCAGAAGTAAGGCAGAAAGAAAGCTCAGTGCTTAGGCCCTGGGGCTGACCCCTCTATACTCTGGAGAAAATTGGATGTTCCTTTGGCTCACTATCTATGTCTTAGGCATAGAATAGACTACATCCCAGGGCCAACTGTTACTCTTGGCAGGGCCCAGGCCGGCCCATCGTGCTAAGAACTGTTGATGGGAGGGAGACAGGTAGGCACAGAAATAGCCTGGAATGGTGATTGACAAAATCTTGTATATAGTTTAATTTCTTAAACCAGTATTTATATTATTGTGTGTGGCATGCCACCAGTGTGTGTATGTGTGTGTGTGTGTAGGTCAGAGGACAACTTGGTAGGAGTCGGTTCCCTTTTTCCACCATGTGGGTCCTGGCAGTGGAACTTGGGTCTAGGCGTGGCGACAAACCCCCTTACCCTCTAAGCTTCTCATTAGTCGCATTGACTATACTTTTAGTTGAGCGGCAGGAATTCTTATGGTTTCCTTTCTTCGGAATTCCTTCGGATTTTTTATGCTGATTTTTAGTCAGAAGACTGTCAAGACATAACAGGATTGACAAGCACAGGCAGAAAGTGAGATGGGCATGCTCCATAATTTCATTAGCAAACGGTGTTACCTGTACTGCGGCTGAACACTGTCTTGCCTTTGTCATCCTGAATGGTGGCACATCCCACGCATCCAGTAGTCTAGGTGATGCCCTTGAGAGAGCGTCCTCAGCAGGTGGGTGGACTCTAGCTTAGGTCTGCGTGCAGAACTGGCCTGAGACCTTGTGGATCTTTGCACTACTAAGAATAGGCTCTGGGAGCATGAGCTGTCCACAGCCTCCTTCCTGCCTTTGGTGCCTGTGTTGAAAGAGCTACAGTGAACAGGGAATGGGTACCAGTTTAGCCAGCTACATGATGGACCACAGCCACACAGAGAAGTAAGTGGCAACTCGGGGACTTAGAGCTGGGATGCTCTAGCTGCCTCTGCCTCCTTAGCACAGCCCTGGACTAGGAAGATGCCAATGGGTCTGCCCAGCTATGCACAGTGTCAGATGAAATAAGAATGAGGAAAGAGTTTGGAATACCAGCTAACCTGCATCTGCATGGTCCTAAGGCTGCAGTTGTAGGCAGAACTCTTCCCAGATTAACTCTTGTCCTTTGGAGATCCATAAGGAAGGTACCTCAAAGTGAGTCTAAGCTCGCACCACAGTGTGTCTTGTCTCACACTGACACAGAGCCTTGAGAGAGGTCCCCTCGCCCCTCCATCAGCTCATGTGTGTAAACATCAACAGCCTATGTCTGCAGGGCTACTGCTCACACTGTGAGTGCAGACGAGAACTCCATTTAATGAACATGGCTTTACAGGGAAGAAACCTCGAATGGTCTCAGTGTAGTGCCTCTGGGGTGACTGGAGGAGAGGCTGGAGTCAGCCTGGCCCACCGTGACTAATTCTGTCTGATCAGGAGAGGGCTTGTCTCCCTGGCAGGTATACCCCTGTTGGCCGCTCCTTCTTCACTGCATCTGAAGGCTGTTCCAATCCCCTGGGTGGGGGCCGAGAAGTATGGTTTGGCTTCCACCAGTCGGTCCGACCTTCTCTTTGGAAAATGATGCTGAATATTGACGGTAAGAAAAACCCATTCACTGCTGGGTGATTGGCGCCCATTCAGCCTCTATTACATGAGGTGGAGATCTTAAAATATGCAGAGGAGCCAGGCATTAGGAGGAAGGTTTCTCATAGCCACCTCTAGCCTCTGTGTCCCCAGTTTGTGCCAGTCGTGTTTGATATCTGAGGTGGTTTCTAGTTGGGTATTGGAACCTTTGAAGTATTCCATTCCCAGGAACCCTTAAGCCAGCCTGGGGAACTGGCTCTGCCAGGACCTGTGCGTGACTAGGATACCCCAGGAGTGGGATTTCTACACCCCTCACTTTCGCTCCACATTTCCTGATTACTCAAGGTTTTTACACTGAGAGAAGGGCACCACTAGGTGCCAATGGATGACCAGCTTCGGCAGTATGTTAGACCTGTCACTGCTGTGACAAGTACCTAGAAGAAACAATTTAAAGCAGTAAAGATCGGCTCAGGGTTTCAGAGGACTCAGTCGAAACTACGCTGATGCTGTCATTCTGAAGCCAATTGCCACTGCAAAGAGGCCGTGAGACAGCACAGCTGCTCACCTCAATTGCGGTGGCTGAGAAGGGGGTGGCTGGAAGGGGCCAGGGAAAAATGCTTTCCGGGACGCACACCCAGCGATCTACTTCTCCAGTCAAGACCTCCTGAGTTTTTACAGCCTCCCAGAAACGCCATCCAGTTGTGACTCCATCAGTCCCCACCCCACGATCCAGGGAGCTCTCAGTGATGGGGTCCATGTGACCTTCTTTTGGGACACTGTAGCTCGCATGCTGTCCCCTCCTGCTTCAGGAGACTCAGGACCATACTTCCCTCTGCCAGAGACCAACAGTCTGGAGGAATGATGCCTCCTCTCACGTAGGAGAGAGGTCCTGACAGCAGCTCCGGGAGCTCCCAGAACACTTCTCGCTCAGGTGCATACTAATTGCGAAAGACTTGAGTGAATGGAAAATCCCAGAAATGCCTCTTGCAGGAGGTGGCCAGAAAAGCCTACAGGATCCAAGGTCCTGACTATCCTGTCAGGCTAGACTTGTTCATGACCACAGTAATTCTTTGGGTGACTACTTTAATGCAGCCAGTCCCTTACCATTGGCTGTGTCAGTCCCTACCTGGGGTGTAGAGCTCTGGGCCTAGTGGGTGTTGGTTTTCTCATCACAAAGGGCCCAGGGGCACACCATAGGGGAGAAATGGAGGGCAGGCCTCCTGAGCGGCTGCTAGTTAGTCACATCAATGTCTCTGGACACCTCCATCAAACGCTCCTGTCTGTCTCTCGCTTTTCCTACACACAGTATCAGCCACAGCATTTTATAAGGCACAGCCGGTGATCGAGTTCGTCTGTGAAGTTTTGGATTTTAAAAGTATTGAAGAGCAACAAAAACCTCTGACAGATTCCCAAAGGGTAAAGTTTACCAAAGAAATTAAAGGTAAAGAAGCCCCCAGCACAGCAGGCTAGGGAGTGAGGGCCCCCTCCTTGCCTGCCCATGCATGGATGGATGGGTTCTTGTTCCACTCTGAGGGAGGAGTGACCCACAAGGCACACTGACTTTGAGCCCATGACTCTAATGAGGACAACCACATGGTGTGGGACATTCCCCGAGCCACAAACTTAGGGCTAGAATCACCCTGAAAGAAGGGTAGTGGTGACACCCAAATCTTACTATGCTGCATTTTGCTGGCAGAAGGCGTCTCTGGACAGGTGGCTCCAGACCTGCATCTATCCAGTTCTGAGGATAGCCTGCATTTCTTACTCCTCTCCTTAGAACCCCATGGCTCTAAATGTTGCCAACATTGCCATGTGTGAAAACTGATTCCAGGGGGGGTCTTGGACTGTAGGTGGGTGACAAGAGTCACTCTGATGCCTGCTGTCTGTCACCAGGTCTAAAGGTGGAGATAACGCACTGTGGTCAGATGAAGAGGAAGTACCGTGTCTGCAATGTGACCCGTCGGCCTGCCAGTCACCAAACGTAAGGCAGCTAAAACAGCCATCCCTCCTTCCTGTCACTCAGATTCCCAGACACTGGAAACCATGGGACTGTCCTGCAAGGATTTATTTGTGCTCCTAAAATGCTTCTACCTCTGTGGCTCATTCACTCTCCTTCTGCAAAGTGGCTGGATAAATGGCTCAGTAGTTAAGAGTGTGTATTGCTCTTAATTTGGTTCCCAGCACCTGTGTTGGGAAGCTTACAACCGCCTATAGCTCCAGCTGTAGTGCCCACCATGTACTGCCCTGGTGCCCATACCCGCACACCAAATCCACACACATACATACATAATTTAAAATAGGATAAGATGGCATTTTTTGTTTTGGCTTTTAAATTTTTATCTTTTTTTTTGTATGATTTTTTTATCTTTTTTTTTGTATGATTTTTTTTTCTTTTTGTATGATTTTTTTTCCTGCATGTATGTCTGTTCACCACATGTGTACTTGGTCCCGATGGAGGTCAAAATGGGCATCAGATCCCCTGGAACAGGAGTTGTAGGTGGCTATCAGCTACTGTGTGGGTACTGGAAACTGGACCCTCTGCAAGAGCAGCCAGTGCTCTTAACTCCTACTTAAGAGTCACCGTGTTCTGCTGGGAAATAGACTTCTGGATTCATCTTCCTGTGTCCTGCACTGTCTAGTAGAAACTGATTGGTGTGTTTCTTAGATGTCTATGTAGTCTCTGTTTCCCAACAGGCACGGGCAGCCTGAGAGCTGAGAGGCTCTGGAATAGTCCAGGAGTTAGTTGAGGCGTTTGCTGCCTGCTTGGTCTGGGAGGCGTGTTGGAACTCTAGTGTCCCGGGAGCCCGGAGGCCCTTGCCTGAGTCACCTCTTTCCGCAGGTTCCCGCTGCAGCAGGAGAGTGGGCAGACAGTGGAGTGTACAGTGGCCCAGTACTTCAAAGACAGGCACAAACTGGTTCTGCGCTACCCCCACCTCCCGTGTTTACAAGTTGGACAGGAGCAGAAACACACCTACCTTCCCTTGGAGGCAAGTCTCTGCACTTTACCCTCGACTGGGGATGAAAAGCCTCAATCCAGCCCAGCCTCACTGTTGCTGAAAGACCCAGCCAACTCATGGCTTCGTTGAGATTTGGCCCTTTTGTGTACCCCTCCCCCCAAAGTTTCTTGATTAGCAGCTTGGTTGGGAATCCCCCGCCTCTTTCTTCGATAGGATCTCACTTTGTTGCCCTGGCTGACTTGGAATTCTCAATGTAGGCCAGGCTGGCCCCCACCTCAGCTCCCACCTACCTCAGCCTTGTGAGCCCTGGGATGATGGTGTCTTCCTTAGATTTTCTGATATGGTTATGAAACACCATGGCCAAAAGCAACTTGGGAGAAAGGGCTAAAGTCACATACTCTCCCACACCACAGTTGACCAGGAAGTCAGGGCAGATACTCCATCTGCTTGGGAATCTAGAGAGAGGTAGGAGCTATTACAGAGGCCATGGACCTGTGCTGCTAACTGCTTTGTTCCCCATGGTTTGTTCAGACTGCTTTCTTATGGGGCCCAGGGTAACATCAACCACGATACAATGGGCCGTCCCACATCAATCACTAATTATGGAGAATACCCTGCATGACTGCCTACAACCAATTACTTTTTTCCCTCAGTATTCTTAATGATTATTTGGGAATTTCATAGCCTACACTTTGATCAGACTCACTTCCAAGTCTTCCTGGATCTGCATCTCACCCTTGTGTGCTGCCTCCCACATGCTCGTGGTCAGACTCCCAGTGGCCAGCCCCTAAGGAAAGCTTGAATAGTCCTCCGTTGTGGAGAGCTACACCTCAGCATCCTTACCATTATTTTTAAGAGTTCTCTTTGATGGTTTTCTGTCTAGGCCTGTTACTTGGGTGGGATGGGGGGTACAGGCTACAGCCCCATCTTGGGGAAGCAGTTTATCAGTTGGGGCTCCCTCCCCTCAGATGACTATAGCTTATGATAAATTGACATAAAACTAGCCAGCACAACAGATGTGAGCCACTCACTATGCCCAGCTCAAATCAGTGTTCCCATCAGTGCCACCAAAGCTGAAGGATGCAGTTGTGTGAGGTCAGGTTTGTTCTGCTGTGAGTGGCAGGCTATGGAGCAGCCCCACCACTGGCTAGGGCTCTGGCTTGGGTACTGAGTCCTTGAAAACCGTCTCTCTCCCACAGTTCATATGTTGACATGTGTGTCTTCTTTACAGGTCTGTAACATAGTGGCTGGACAGAGGTGTATAAAAAAGTTAACAGACAATCAGACCTCAACCATGATCAGAGCCACTGCCAGGTCGGCACCCGATCGGCAAGAGGAGATCAGCAAATTGGTGAGCACTGGGTTCTCAGGTTCCTCTGGGATGGGGCACCATGGCAAGGACAGCCTGAGCACACACTGCTGTGCTTGAGCAGGGATGACCCTCAGGAGGAGCAGAGGCCTTCACTGACTCGTCTTCCTCTTTTTCCTAAAGATGCGAAGTGCGAGTTTCAATACAGACCCGTATGTTCGCGAATTTGGAATCATGGTCAAAGATGAGATGACGGATGTGACAGGACGGGTTCTGCAGCCTCCCTCCATCCTCTACGGGGGCAGGGTAGGTGCAGGCAGATGGTGTGGGTGTGCGCGTGCACACATGCGGTGGATTAGCCATGTGTGTTCTCAGGTTTGTAGCCGCCCGTACCTATGGGGTAAGCACTGGGTACTGCAGATGGCTGCTCTGAGCTGCTCCCATTGGACCGTGCATGACAAAGACTCTACCTTTTGGATCCTTTTTTAAAGTCTGCACATTGCTATTAGTGTTTCTAACAGTCTGTCTTAACATTAAAATTTTTACTTCATTCTTATGGAAGAAGTTTCGTGGATGGTGTCTGACTCTTCTCAGCCCCATCCATTATTCTAACCGCCCATTCATCTGATTCCACTCAACCACATCTGTTTATCCAGTTCTAGGCACCGCATCCTTCTGTCTTCTCATTCCTTCATCCCTTCTATCCATCCATCCATTCGGCTCTTCATTGCTGCTATCCACCTACTTGTTCATCATCTCTCCGGCCGTCCTCTCTTTCCTCATCTAGCTTGCCGGCCCCCGTGTGGGCTGTCTGCATTGCTAGTTAGGGATACTAGAGCCAGTCCAGTCATGCTTGAAGAGTCTTCATTGATCAGGGGGACCAGCAGCCACAGGTTTCCATTTGTTTCCTCACATTCCAAACCACTTTCTATTTTCAGAACAAAGCGATTGCCACCCCTGTCCAAGGTGTGTGGGACATGAGAAACAAGCAGTTCCACACAGGCATCGAGATAAAAGTGTGGGCCATCGCCTGCTTCGCACCCCAGCGCCAGTGCACTGAAGTCCATCTGAAGTAAGCCTGCTTGAGACTGCCATGTGCCATGGGTTGCAGAGGGCCTGCTCCTCCTCAGCCTAGCACACTGAGAGTGTCAGGTCACTGGCCGGGGAGCCTGGTGCCGACAGGAATGTGCTCTGGGGCTCTAGGGTTGTACTTTGGGTTTTACTTTTGTTCCAAGGTTAGAGGGAAAATGAGACATTTGTGTTCTGCCTCTCTGGGAGACAGTAAAGGGAGGTCCACCAAACCTGCAGAGTGTAGCTGTCACCTGACCGATGACCGACTCAGCAAGAGGCTATTGAGTGATGCTTTCCAGTGCAAGGCAGAGTTCCCTGACTGGAGGCTGTCACCCACTGATTGATTGGTGGCATCTGCTTCTAATAGAATGAGCCAGAAGCCCAGAGCAAAGAGAGCCAAAGCAGAGACTGGGTGTTAGTGATCTCCTGCCCAGCTTCATCCTTGGCCTCTCTGTCCAGAAGCACGCCCACCTGCTGGCATGAAGGCAGGTGCACACATGAATCTATAAATGCAGCATATGAGAAGGTGTGAATACTGACCCTATAGATAGGAACCTTCACTGCTGATTAGACACGTTCTTGCTCTGGAACTGAGCATAGACTCAGTCAGTCTCGGGGTCCCCTGAGTTGGGGTCTCCTGACCTTGCTTGGCTCTCACTTGCCCTGCTTTCTCTTGAGTCTGTGTCTCCAAGCCTGGTTGTACCCACCAGAGCAGCAGGGGAAACCCACAAGGCAACTAATGGTATGGGTTGTTTTACTAGAGAGTTGCTTAGGTCTGCACGGCACAAAAAACCCGTACTAAGGGAAGGCAGCAAGCATGCATTTTTTAAGCTGCCATTTCATCCCAGGGTTGTCGCCCTTGGGCCTTCCAGGTGTGTAGTGTCAATATTCTGGCATCTGCACCTACCTGCCCTTGGGGCTATGTCCTCAGCTGCAGACACTAAGAGCACCTCCTGTGCACATTCACTATGTTCCCTTTTAAAAGGGCCCTGCTCACCTCCCACCTCTTTCTCTGTCTTTCTGTCTCTCCCACTTCTCTCTTTTCTGCTGCTCCCATCCCGAGCGGCCAGTCTCCCTCTTCCCTTTCCCCTCCACATGAACTCTGGCATGACGTTTTTTCTTGCGCGCAAGGCTTTTTTTTTTTTTTTTTTTTAAATCACAGCATATAGCCCACTCACCTCTTCCACAGGCTGATATAGTTTTGACTTCTGGCTTTATCTGAAATTTAACTCTAGAATGGCGTGGTGCCTACCTCCTAACCCTGTCCCTCAGAGGCCGAGGCAATAGAATCCTGAGTTTGAAGCCATCCTGGGCTACCAAAAGTAAATAAAAACCTTAATTCTCCATTTTTAAAACAGTTTATGCATCCCAAGGTTAGCCTGGAGCTATAGACCCTCCTTTTTCTCCCAGATGCTGAAACCACAGGCATCCACCACCGTGCCTGGAATAGTCAGTCTTAGGGATGAAAGATTGTGCGTGCTATCAAGTACTCTGTCAACTGAGCTACATTCCCAGCTCTGAAAAAACTTAATTCTAACCTCCATAAACATGCTTTTTTGTTTGTTTGTTTTGGGGTGGTTTTTTTGGGGGGAGGGGCAGGGTTTCTCTTTGTAGCCCTGGCTGTTCTGGAACTCTGTAGAACAGGTTAGCCTTGAATTCAGAGATCCACCTGCCTCTGCCTCCCAAGTGCTGGGATTAAAGGCATGGGCCACCAACACTCAGAAATGTGCTTCCCCCCACCTACCCACTTTGTAAATCTTATTCAGAACCACTAGTTGATATGACTTCCTTCCCATCTGTGATACATCTCAGCAAGGTTGCCTTTCCACTCAGGTCCTTCACAGAGCAACTGAGGAAGATCTCGAGAGATGCTGGGATGCCCATCCAGGGTCAGCCCTGCTTCTGTAAATATGCCCAGGGGGCAGACAGTGTGGAACCCATGTTCCGGCATCTGAAGAATACCTACGCTGGTCTTCAGCTGGTGGTTGTCATCCTACCCGGCAAGACTCCTGTGTATGGTGGGTGCCAGCTATCTGCAGGCTTCAGGGAGTTGAGAGTTCCAGTGGGTGGACGTTGCCTGTTGTTCCCCTTCATGTTGCCTGAACTAAGTGGTTGCTTCTTGCCCGGCCTAGGGCCCGAGAGGGGAGAGGGGATCTGGTTGCTCTAGTTAGTGTTTGGAATCATCCTTGTCTTGCAGGAGGCCACAGTCCCAGGAATCTAGCAACTCCAGGTGACCCATAACTTGACTTTAGGGTTGGTTTTATCTTCATGCTGTGGCACAATTGTCAGGTGGAAGAGAGTCCCCTAATAATGCCAGTGTTCCCTGAGGAAGCCCTACTAACTCCTGATTCCTCAGAACCCAGTCAGCATGGATGACCTCTGCTACCACTGCAGACAAGGTGGACTTCTCTGTTGGAGGGTAGTTGCTCAGTCATCAATGCAGAACCGGGAAATACTGGTGAGAGGGAATGTTCAGGAGGTCCTTGGGTGTATGGACAGGTCTTCAAGGTGAGAGCAATTTGCCCACAAGCTTCCGGTCAGAAGGGTGCTGATGTGAGCTCTAGTGGTGCAGGAGCCAAGAAAGGCAACTGTGGCTGCCTGATGCTTGTCAGCAGTAGAGGGGCAGAGAACAGTCCCATCAAGGCCATGCTTCTCCCTCCAAGTTCAAAGAAGGCTTTCTCAATGTGGTGGTGTTTGGATGCTATGAGTGTTACCCCTGGAGTCCTGGTTTCTAGAATAGCCCGAAGAGCAGTGGCCAGCTGCTTCAGGAAGGAATCTGGGAATGGGGGAGTAGGGATCCCACAGCTTTTGATGTTGGTTCTGTGTTCGCTGAAGGTTTTGAGGAGGCTGGCACTTTCATTTTTAGCTCTCCAGGCATTAGCTTAACGTGAGGGCTCATTCCTGCTGAGGGCCGACTGAAGCTGCAGTCATAGCCGGTTCTGCTCACCCTGTTCTGGGCCCGGGGTCACACATGGGTGGTGTGTGATGCGCCTCCAGCTCCCCATCCTCGGGGGTGAGGCAGGCACAGGTGCCTGGCAGTGCTACCGCAGGATTCCGCCAGGAGCTCTGCCCCTCCACCTGCCAGCATCTTCCACGGACTGGCTGCAGGTGCCTGGTGCAGTCCAAGTGGGGGAGAAGACAGCTGCTTCTCTTTGGGGGCTGTGACATGTGCACTTCTGCTCCACAGCTGAGGTCAAGCGTGTGGGAGACACGGTGCTGGGGATGGCCACACAGTGCGTGCAGATGAAGAACGTGCAGAGGACCACGCCACAGACCCTGTCCAATCTCTGCTTAAAAATCAACGTCAAACTGGGAGGCGTCAATAACATCCTGTTGCCACAGGGCAGGTGAGGAGACTGCACCCTGCACACCACCACTGGTTTGAATGGTCAGTTGAGAGGTGCCCACAGTCCGTGTGGGATGAGTTCGGGGCCCTCAGAACCAGGAAGTCCTGGGGTGGGTAAGTGCTGTGGCTAGGCTCCCTAATAGTTGAAAATTAGTGTGGAGGGCAACTGCCACCCCTGCTCCCTGTGCTGAGGTCGAGACAGGTTCATCTGGAACGGCCAGGAAATGGCTTCCACTCTTGTCGCTTGGTCCTGGGAGCATTAGTGCAGCGCAGACTCCTAGTTCCCTCTTTGACTCCCAGCTTACTACTGGGATCAGAGCACTCTGGACCGAAAGCTCCATGTAGGAGCCAGTGTTGACAGGTCCTATGCCTAGGCCATGAAATCAGGCCTAGCAAGCACTGACTGCCAGCATGCGCTGTAGGGCTAAGGGCTGGACTTGTGGAACTATCTTCTTCCTTGTGTGCCTCCTGAGGGGTTAGAGGTCGAGGCCAAAGTTAATGTTTGCCCTTTCCTGGACTGTGGTCCTGTGATAGAGGCAAAGGAAGAGAGTGACCATAGTAATCATTTTGGTTGAGGGAACTGTCTCCGAAGACCAGGGGAATGATGGGCGAGCCTATATTCTGGAGGACTGGCTGTAGTTCTCAGACTGAAGGAGGAGAATGGCAGTCATCTCTAGCTCTTAGTCTAGTTAGTGTAAAGACATGAAAGAGGAATGGCTTGGGCTGGGCAGCTGCACTCTGGCCTGCCACAGGAGATAGGAGGAGGCAAGGTGTCCTCTGGTGTTAAATCCATGAGCCTGAGAGAGCACCCTTGAGTGAATAGCAAGATCTGAGCCCTGTGCCCAGGATAAAGTTCAGGGACACGGGTAGTAGACAGGTGGAGGCATCAGGGGAGTGTGTCTTGCATCACAGAATGCCAATGGGCCATACTGTGTGGTTTGATCATTGGACCCAGTGCTGTGGAAGTCATTGGAGACCTTGAAAGAGGAATCTTGTTACCATGACAGCATGGAGTTGAGTTAGGAGGAACCTGGGAGGCAGCAGCAGGCTGGGCTCATGGGAAGCTTTGTTGGACTACAGATAAAAAATGAGAGGAAGCCAGGGGCAAGTGTGCCTTTGCTTATGTCATGTGAGTCACATCCAGCCACGTGGAGGAACACAGCTGCTGTCTGGCTGTGCCATCTAGGTGGCCTGGTGATGGCAGACAGTGATCAGGACCTGGAGGGTAGCACCCAGCTCCCGCTTTAACTGTCATCAGAGACCAGGGGACACAAGCATCTTAAATGTGGCAGACCACAGTGCTGTGAACTGTCAGTCTTAGACGTCACAGGCAATGTACCTAACACTTGCTGGAAAGGCTACAGAGATGCTTATCTTCCCCCTCAGAAAGTACTTTATCTTCTGTGTCTATGTCCTGAGTGGCTGCTTAGAGGTAGGGGTTTGTCCAGGAGAATTCCTGTTGTGGTCACTCCCTGGGCCTTTGCTGAGACTGACTCACTGAGGGATTAGAGCATGCATCTCTGAGTGCCTGACCCTTTGAACAAAGTGAAGTCACCTCAGGTAGAGATGTGGTGCTCAGCTGGTGTCATGGTTGCTCATGACCTGGGGGTCTTAACACAGAGAGTACTGTCTGGAGGAGTCAGTCCCCACACACTTAGGGACAAAAATGCCCTCTGACCACCTCAACTTTCCCTGCTAACAGGTGTCTTCTGGTTCTTGTGATAGTCTCAGGCCACCTTTAGCAAAGTCAATCTCTTTTGGCATTGAGGGTTATGTGTAGGGCCTGGCAGTCGATAAGAATCATAGGAACCAGATGTGGAAGCATAGTCTTATGATCCCAGAATTTGAGAGGTAGAGACAGGAGGATCAGAAGTCCAAGGCCAGGCTGGGACACATAAGACTATGTCTCAAAAGAAAACTGCAGGAAGATTGCCTGTGCTCTGGCAACCCTGAGAGAATGAGTCAGGGGGGTGGTGAGATCCTGGAGTGACCCTAGGGAAGTAGAAGGTTGAACAAGGCACCCCCAGTGCCCAGCCAAGACCTCATTGTTTAACCCAGTGGGCGGGCCTTCTGTGGATCTTTAAGGATAAGATCCTGATGGAGTTGCTGGGGGTGTCTCTTGGTAAAGTGCACACATACATGAGGCCCTGGGTTCAAGCTCCAGCACAGTGAAAACAGATGGGTTTGGCGGTTCATGCTTTTGTCATCCAGGCACTGAGGTAGAGGCAGGGGATCTCTTGGGAAATGTCCATTTTAGGGCTAGAGTTGCCCCCCGAGAGGGAGAGGAATAATAATGTCAGGCATCCATGCATTGTCTGAAGCCTGAGTTGCCAACACTCACTTTCTTACAGGCCTCCAGTGTTCCAGCAACCTGTCATTTTCCTGGGAGCCGATGTCACCCACCCGCCAGCTGGGGATGGAAAGAAGCCTTCGATCGCTGCCGTAAGTACCCACACTCCCTCCTGCTCTCTTCTGGTGCCGTGCTGCTCAGGTGCCAGTGGTCGTTTGCAGTGGTGTGGCAAGAACGCTATGGAGCTCGCTCACCTGCCTGGTTGCTCAGATCGTAAGCTAATGGCAAAGGGGTGGCTAGAGGGGCAACCAAGGATGTCACAGCGGTTTGTAGACTGCCACCAACACTGCTGTCTGGTGCATTTGGTGGGCTTCCCCCGTCCATCAAGACAGCCTTGGCTGACCATTCAGCAGCCACTCCCTCTGCTCTCAGAAGACCACCTTGTCCTGTTTAGAGAGGCCAGCCGTGTACTTCAGTAGTGAGGTTTGCCCCGTTGGAGTGCAGAGTGACAAGGGGGTGTCCTCTCACATCACTCTAGTCAGAGTGCAGGGTTCTGGAGCCAGGGTGGTTGAGTGTCTGTAAGGAAACGACAGGCTCTTTGGGTCATCTGTACCTTCCTGCACAATCAGCTTCTCTGACATCAGTGCCACAGAGGCGCCCACCTGCTGTGGAGTGGGATCAAATTGCCCGGGCATAGCAGCCTACAGATGGGTACAGCCTTGGTTAGAGTGTGCCCCAGCACCCTTTACTTGGCACGGCAATACCAGCCTTATACCCAGCTGAGCCTCAGCCTTGAGCCACACTCTGCTGTTTCTCTCCTGTAATTACGCTTAATCTTTCTGGGCTTTTCACGTGTGCTTTTGCTGTTGCCCTTAGGATTGTGAAAGGGGGAGAGGCACTTGCTCTGTGCCTGGCTTATAGCAGATGCTAAACAGGCTCAATATCATTGTTTAATCTGTCTTAAAGGGGGGGGGTGACATATAGGACAGGACCCCCCCCCCATTTGCATCATGTGTGCAGTGCACAGTTCAGGCTTGGATTGTAGGTGGCATCCACAGCCAGGATCCCAGGTCTTTTGCCACATTGGTCTCTACCTGGTCACCATTTTTTTTTTCCTGGTTCACTGGGCACAGATCCTCTAAGCTTTGAAGGCTTAGGGCAGTGTATTAGTCCAAAATGCGCGCGTTCTCACACACACACACACACACACACACACACACACACACACACACACTCTTACAGCATGTAGTATTACAATGAAAAGGCTGAGAATAATCAGTAGTTGTTTAGTCCATGAGGTTGGATGTCTCTGCAATCCCAGCTGCTGGTTTTTAGTCTAAATTGGAATCTGCCGGCAGCAACAGTAATGGACAACCTGGCCAACAAGAACTTGGGCAAGCAGGCAAAAACAAAAGGCTGCCACTAGGTGTGACTCAGATTTAGAGTGGATCTTCTCACCTCTGGAGATGCAGTCTAGAAAATCCCTTGCAGCATTCCCGGCTGCTCGAGTGTAAGCTGATGGCAGAAGTAGGTGAGCTGACAAGATCAGGTTTTAGAGCCAGGCTTCTCAACTTCTAAGGAGCAGATTTCTATGTGTTTATTCCTGGTGCCCACAGTTCTCAGTCAGTAGGAATAGGTTTCCATTCATGTTGACTTATTCTATTTATACCAACTTGCAAAACTTTGGGGTCTATTTAAGAGGGAAACTGTTAGTTTGGGAGAAAAACTGTAACCCCGGGCAGGGTTAGAACAAGGAATTCTGTAAAGCTTCTCAGAGGGGTAGCAGGTCACCTGCTTCCCAGGGACATGGGGCCCTTCCCTTAGAGCTTTCAAGGTATAAGGAAGTGCTTCCCACAGCTCAGAAATGGGCAGGTCCTAGCTGTAAGGGTCCCCTTGGTCCCCTGATCTTAGCCCTAGAAGGATCGTGGTTTGCACTCTGGCTCTCCTATTTGCTTCTTCAGATGTCCCCTTGAAGAGCCAGCCGGCTTCCTTCAAGGGGCTGTGACCTTCCTAGGGACAGAAGTCTGGTGACACTAAGTCTTTGATGTGCATATGGCTTTTTGGAGAAGTGTTTACTCTAAACAAGAGGCACCCCCAGTTGTTTTTTTGCACAGATAATTCAACCACGTCTGACCTTACACACAGGCTAAGTTTTGCCTTTTTGGTTTCTTCCCCCCTGTTTTTTGGTTTTCCCGTTTTTCGAGACAGCGTTTCTCTATGTAGCAACCCTGGCTGTCCTGAATCTCACTCTGTAAACCAGGCTGGCATGGAACTCAGAGTGAGTTCCCGCCTCTTCCTTCCAAGTGCTGGGTTTTAAGGCAGGCACCACCACCACCCGGCCAGTTTTGCCTTTTCTTGTGTACTTTAGGGCAAATGTCTCATCTTTGGAAGGTATTTAGCAGCACCTTCTGCTGTGAGGGACATTGTGGGGAGATGCTTCTTTGCAGGACCCTAGAAGGAGGGATCCCTGAAGCCCTTGCCTCTTGCTGACTGTATGTCCCACAGGTTGTGGGCAGCATGGACGCACACCCCAACCGCTACTGCGCCACCGTGCGTGTACAGCAGCATCGACAGGAAATCATCCAGGACCTGGCTGCCATGGTGCGGGAGCTGCTCATTCAGTTCTATAAATCGACACGCTTCAAGCCCACCCGCATCATCTTCTACAGAGATGGTGTCTCTGAAGGCCAGTTCCAGCAGGTAGGCTGCACCAAACTGTCTTCTTGGCTTTTGTTCATTGGCTGGTCACAGTGTGGAAGGCAGAATATGTGTTTGGGCCGTGCTGCATGAGATTTTGAGGCCTGTGGTGGGGGAAGGCAGGAGTGGAGTTGTGGATACAAGCTTGGGCAGTGGAGACCTAGGTGAGGGTAGAACCTGGCCGAGGAATGTGAGAATTTGTGTTTAGGGTCCGATGACAATTTGGAGCTCTTTGAAGGTGGTGTCTAGGGACCAATACAGTGGATGTGGAGAGCTGTAAGCCCAGGACAGTGAGAAGAGGGGACTTGTAGTTATTCCAGCCAAACTGCAGTAGCAGTATGAGCCCATTGTGACCTGGAACTCAAGAAGCCACTGCCCTGGGGTTCCCCAGCTGGCCCAGGCTAGTTCCTTCTCCACCTCACCCAGCATCCCAGCAGCTGCTTCCTTGGGAGTCGGTGGCAGGAAATGGAGAAATAAGACATATGGGTCACACTCAGTGAGGAGGACGGGTCCCGCCTTCTTGGGGAGCGTTGGTATCTGCCCTGGGCATTCCTAAGGTCTGAAGTGCTTGGGATTCTACTTGCCTTGATCACAGGCTGATGGCGTACAACAGAGGATGTATGTGTTTGCTTCCCTGTCCAGGCACAAGCTGCAGCTTTTCCTTTTCAGAACATATACTCATGGCTCCTGGGAGAGAGTAGACTGTCTGCCTCAGCCTTCCTGGCCAAGCCCTAGAACTGTGCTCTGCAAGAGCCTTGGTGACAGCTTCCACAATGCACTTTTGTGACCAGAGCCCTGTTGCCTTTAAGTAGAACCCCTGTGCTCCTAGTTTTTCCGCATGCTCCTCCCTGGTAGAGAGGCTAGATCTGCCTGTCTCAGCTCTTCCCCCCAGAGAATCCCGGAATCCCCATGACTGTATTGTCTCACTGGAATTCTAGGCATACTTTAGAAACATTAAATCTGAGGTGCCAGGCGTGGTAGCACTTACCTTTAATCCCAGCTCTCAGGAGGCAGACGCAGGCAGATCTCTGTGAGTTCCAGTCCTGCAAGGGCAGTGTAGCAAGCCCTTGTCTCAGAAAGAAAGGCTGGGGGGGGGGGGGGGACGACACAGAGACAAAGCTGAAGAGCCCCTGGCTTTAGTTTATATCTGCAGGCCCGGCTGCTCTGGAGTCTTGGGTGGGAAGAGTGCTTGAGTTAAGACTTTGAGGATAGGCTGAGGGAGACACTAGTCCCCGCACTTATATAGCAAACCCTGACACGCGTTACATGAAATCTTCAATGCAGCTGGAAGGAATGGCTCTTGCTGAGTGCTGCTTGGTGGCGGAGCCAAGCAGCCCAGGTCTGATTCAAGATAGCGTTTGCTCCGTTCACCTTTCCTTTACTCTCAGGAAGCAAGCAAGCGGCAAATGGCTCAGTTGTCCATGTCCATGAGTCTTCACAGTGCTGTTTACTGAGCACCATGAGACCACTGTGGGTTCCATACCGTGCAGGTTTTTTTTTTAATATTTATTTATTTATTATGTATACAATATTCTGTCTGAATGTATGCCTGCAGGCCAGAAGAGGGCACCAGACCCCATTATAGATGGTTGTGAGCCACCATGTGGTTGCTGGGAATTGAACTCAGGACCTTTGGAAGAGCAGGCAATGCTCTTAATCTCTGAGCCATCTCTCCAGCCCCGATACCGTGCAGTTTTGTGCGCTTTCTAATTTTAACCATGAAGCCTGGGTGCCCTCGGTAGTCTCATGTAGATAAAAGTTTGGTCATAATTTTTACTATCACATCTATATAAACTTGAGTTTTCTGGAATAGGGGAACCTCAATTAAGAAATTGTCTCAATCAGGCATCATATCTGTGGGACAGTTTCATATTGCTACTTGACATAAGGGCACCGTCTACTATGGCAGTGCCGTCCCCGGACAGGTCGGCCTGGGCTGTATGAGAAAAGCTAGCTGAGCTGAGTTTAGTTTGCATGCTGTTAACCCCAGCAGTGAGGAGGCAGAGGAGGTAGATCGCTTTGAATTCAGGGCCATCCTTGTTCACATCGTCAGTTACAGGCTAATCAGAATGAATAAAAATGAAAGAAAACAAGGTAGCAAGTAACGTACTTCATGTTTTCTGTTGAGTTTCTACCCTTCCTTCCCTCGGCTGTGATCTGGAAGTATAAGCTAGGTGTAGATAAACCCTGTTCTCTTTCTTTTTTGCTTTTTTCGAGACAGGGTTTCTCTGCGGTTTTGGAGCCTGTCCTGGAACTAGCTCTTGTAGACCAGGCTGGTCTCGAACTCACAGAGATCCGCCTGCCTCTGCCTCCCAAGTGCTGGGATTAAAGGCGTGCGCCACCACCGCCCGGCAACCTTGTTCTCTCAAGTCTGCATTTGGCCAGTCTTTTTATCAGGACAGTCAGCAGAAGGCACAGTGGCTCACTGGCCCAGTGATGGCTAAGCTGCCTGCAGAGCAAGGCCCCTGATGCCTGCCCCTATCCTGCAGGTCCTCCATCACGAGCTGCTGGCCATCCGAGAGGCCTGCATCAAGCTAGAGAAGGACTATCAGCCAGGGATCACGTTCATCGTGGTGCAGAAGCGCCACCACACACGCCTCTTCTGCACAGATAAGAATGAGCGGGTGAGTCACAGCCCTGTGGCTGCCACAATCTGGGGAGCCTGTTTGGAGAGGCTGGACTTCATGAGGAAGGCCCAGGCATGAAATGTCATTTTCCCAATAAATGATCTAGAGGTGTTTCGGGGGGAAGAAACCCTGTCAGAGCTCATGCAGGCCTAGTGATTAAACCCAGATCCTCTGCTTGCATGGCACACACTGCACTGATCTCCTAAAACCCAGAAAAGTGTTTTCTCTGCTTTTAACACTACAGTGATGCCCACAGCTGTGTATAGGGCACTTGCCTGGGAGACATAGGTTGCCCAAAGGGGCGGGAGTTCAGGGTGTCTATCAGAGCCTGAAGCCAGTACTGGGAGTGCAAGACCTATCGGGCTAGGATCATCACACCATGGTGGTTATTGCAGTTCAGCTCGGCCCGGTGGCCTCCAGGGTAGCTCAGTATTTGTGGGGAGGTATTTCTTGCCACAGTGAAAGGAACCACTCACCAATAAAATACTATATCTGTGATCACCAGTGTTCCCAGAACTGTGTACTAAAATGACATAGAGGGGAAAGGACCAACTAAAGCTTACAGAACCTCGAGGGGAAATGACAGGTACAGGGTCACGGGTGGATGCTGTAACACACCTGCCAGAACCTGAACCAGGCAGGAATGAGTGGGAGCAGAGAGTGGGGGTGTGGTGAGAAGGGCAGCAGGTGGCGGACTCCCGTGGGAGGACACGAAAGTCTCGGGTGGTTTCCAAACCTTGATCTTGTAGAAACCATATGTTTTTATCATTATGCAAATGAGGTTTTAGAGTGCTTGACACTTTCACTTTGCTGCCCGTAGCTCATGCATTAAAGATAGAACAAATAGAAACTCCAGAGCGCTCACAGCTGAACAAAACCAAATGGTTTCATACCAAATCAGCTCAGCTTGGAGACGTGAGTGCATTTATTATAAATGTGAAATGGCCCTGCAGACCATGAAGGGAAGCTGTGGAGCCTGTAGCTGGGTTCCCTTGCAGCCCTGTGTCTTTGTTGCCAGGGGTATTAGGGCTTCCTTCCCCAGAGTGGGCAATAATTAGAAGATAGTGAAGATGTGGTGTGATTCTGCTTCCCGGAATGTGCAGGGGGCAGAGGATCCCCTCCAGGGAAGCAGAGGAGACTGGCGATGTCAGTTCCTACAGATGTGACTCTTAGCTAACGGATTTTGTAGTATGTCCCAGATGCCTATGGAGGAGTTATGTGTATTTACAAAATCAACTCAGGAACTTAACCCAAAAGTTCATTTTTGAAAGTCACCATGCCAGAAAGCATTCTAGGCAGATTTCTCACCCAAACCTCAGCTGTTGGTCCTCAGAGAGGGTGGCAGAGAACAGCAAAGGAGTAATAGCAGGAAGACTATAGAAACAACAACATCATTCATGCAGTTTTAAAAAGGAGACGGGTTATTTACTTGTGGACAGACATGAACATGTGACTGGGATCCGCCTTGTATGTCCACTCCTCAGCCCCTCGACTACGAGTCTCCACTTCTTTCTCTGGCCTTGCCTACAAGGATAAGGCTGTTGGGAAGACTGACCAAGACATGGCCCCCAGTCTCCATGCGTTGTTCAAGAGGTGATGCCCATGCTGGGGTGGGAGTGCAGATCCATAGCCAGCTCGGAGCACAGTTCTGACAGTGTGTGTCCATGCTGCCAACACAAGAAGTGGAGATGGTGTGTGGAATTGTTTAGCTGAGCATAGTCACGCATGCCTGCTATTCCACACTCTGGGGTGTGCCATGAGTTGAGTCCAGTCTGCAGTACTCAGTGAATTCTAGTTCAGCCTGGGCTACAGGAGACTCTGTCTATAAATAAACAATAGAGGGATTTCATGGCATTATTGCTGTGCTAGTAAGAAAAGTACAAAGTAACTACCCCAGTGGAGTCTCTCTCTCTCTCTCTCTCTCTCTCTCTCTCACTCTCATAAAAGAAATGTTTCTAGCTAAGCACAATGATACACAATGCTATTTCAGCACTTGGGAGGTGGTAGTGGGGATATCATGAGTTGGTCTCATCCTTAGCCACATAGAGAGTTGGAGCCTATTTAATGCAGATCCTTTAGAAAACAGACTGCTTGATGGGAGCATCTGGCTGCAGCGTAAACAACAAGCTCTGCCCCCCATCCTGCCACACCTCATGAGCTCTCTCTGTTGCTGCAGGTTGGGAAGAGTGGGAACATTCCAGCAGGCACAACCGTAGACACGAAAATCACCCATCCGACTGAATTTGACTTCTACCTGTGCAGTCATGCTGGCATCCAGGTAAGGAGGGAAGCTCCGTTTGACGGTCTGGACTGTTTGCAGCGTTGTCGTACATTTGATGTGTTGTGAGTATGCCTACGGGGCTCCAGATCATTCTGTGGCCGGGAGAGGTGGCCTCGGGCCCAGGTACCAAGACTGTTTTTGGGTCAGACACTGGGAAAGAAGAGGTAGCAGGAACCTGTGTGGAAGTGGGTGTGGTGAGACCATTGTGGAAGGGACAGCAGTGGTCAAGGGGTGCGGAGTGCTCATCCTGGCAGTGAGTGAGCTAGAAGTTGAGGCTACAGGAAGCCGCCCTAGTTGGGGCCTGAAGGAGTTCAAGCTCAGCTGCATGCTGGCTACCAATAAAATGCCAGGACAAGGAGGGTGCTGGAATGCTCTGTGACTTCTGGAAGCCAGCATCCCACCATCTTCCTGCTGCTAGAGTAAGGTCTTCGAAGACTGATAGCAGATAGACAGGGAGGAGCCACCGCTCTTTCTGCTAGGTGAATGCCACTCTTCCTTGCAGGAGTCTTTGGAGGGAAAAGCACCATCAAATATTCCCAGCCCCTACTTTTTAAATGTTAAAATGTAGCTTTGAGAGTTGTGGGTTTTTTTTCTTGGTATAATAAATAAAACATTGTAGAATATCCAGTATATCTAGGGGGCATTGTCTTTCACTCAGCCCCTTCTAAAATGTTATTTTTTATTGCTACATTAGATTTCTGGGATGTGGGGTACAATGTGATATTTTAACACAGGTATGCAGCCTATGATGGTAGGGTGGAGTAGCCTTCACACCCATCAGGCACTTCAGACTTTGAACAATTTCTCTGTATTAGAAATATTGAAAATTTTCTCTGCTGGCTGTCTTGAATCTTGGCTGCATGAATATTACTCTGAGATGGGCATGATTTTGAAATAGATGATTCTGAGGGTTTTAAAGACAGGGTGTTTCTGTTTTACTGAATATGGCCTCAAATTTGAATCCTCCTTCCTCAGCCTCCCAAGGGCGGACTCACAGATGTGTGCCAGCATGCCCGTCTTAGCAGGAATAATTATTGTTGTTCTTGGTAAAGGTCTGCTCCTGTTGACTCTTGTGACCTCTGACCTCTTTCAGGGGACAAGCCGTCCTTCTCACTACCACGTGCTTTGGGATGACAATCGTTTCTCATCTGATGAGCTGCAGATTCTGACCTACCAGCTGTGTCACACCTACGTGCGCTGCACACGCTCTGTGTCCATACCGGCACCAGCCTACTACGCTCACCTGGTGGCCTTCCGCGCCAGATACCACCTGGTGGATAAAGAACATGACAGGTAAGTGTCACACCTGGAGAGGGGTTTGAGACAAGGCTGGTTTCTTGTAGGCGCTGACGACTGCTTTCCCTGGAAGAAGTGGCCATCTCCGTGGCCGTTCGTCAGCTGTGTGGCCACAGCCATGCTGCTTTCCCTGCATGTCGAGTTCCTGTTCCTGGATTGGTGTCTGGTAAAGACTACATTCTTTCTCTTCCTCTGCAGCGCTGAAGGAAGCCATACCTCTGGGCAGAGCAATGGGCGAGATCACCAAGCGCTGGCCAAAGCGGTCCAGGTCCACCAGGACACACTGCGCACCATGTACTTTGCTTGACATGTTGTAGTGTTTAGCGATTGTGTACCAAGTTGGATTCACACGAGACCAGCTACACTCAGACCAACAGATGCCCAGCCCTTCCGTGACAGCCAGCATCGAACATGAGACGTCTTTGGTTTTATTAGATCCTCCATTTTCCAGAATGCCTTCCGTCCCAGATTTCAAACTTGGATTTTGAGCTGCAGGCCTGTACGAGACCCCATTGTAGGAAACGTGGTTTGCCAAAACCTATAAGCTGCTCACCGAAAGAGTCCGTGTTTCCTAAAAACAAAACAACAACAAAATGTCCTCAAACCAGTCTATGAACTCTCAGGGCTTTAAAACATTTTTAATTTATTTGGTCATTCGATTTACTCGTTTTTAACACCTGATTCTCAACGAAATCGCTGGGCTCTAACTAGCTGTGAAGGCTCTGAGCGTGAAAGCAACACCATCACCATTGGGGTTTTAAAGCCTGACCCTAAGAAGTTGTCACTAATGTTGTTCTAGGGGTGCCACGTGCTCTGCAGCCCCAGGGCAGATGGCTGCTTGGTATCCATGGTGTCTCTCGCCTGCCACTCCCTGCCCTCGAGGCCTGAACGAAGGCGTAGTCGCAGAGAGGACAGTCACGTGTGTTTGCAGCAGTGACGGGTCCGAGAGATTGGCAGACAAGTGCCATTTTGATAAAAATTTATTTAAAAAGAGAAAAAAAGACAATATACTGACAGTCTAATCATAAGATTTGTCCTGTAGGACTGTGACATTTATTTTCCAAAGTTTCTAAAGAATACGGGTCTGTGGTGGTAAATACAGTACAATCCTTTTTCACTGTTATGTCTTTAATGTAAGAGAAGAATATATATATCTGGTTTGCAGTATTAAATGTGGTAGGTAGATGCTGTTTTCCTTTTGTTGACTATGGGGTGCTTCTTGTGACCTGTTTCCCATATCAGGAGCTGTTTGGAGCCTGGAGACAGGCCACCTCTTGTGGCTTTTAGCGCTTATGTAGAAGAATATGCAACTGGCTTCATGTGACAGCGATGCACCCCTCCTTCTTCCCCCTCCCCAGTGTGGACTGTGTAGCCTGTACCTCTGGGAAGGACAGTGTGCTTGCCAGGAATTTGCCGTCCTCCCCTGCCTCATCCATGTGTATCGCTCAGCCGATGAAGCACAAATGGATTTTATTTATTCTTCCATTGCTGGGGAACAAGCTCTCATCAGAGTGCACCTCTCTCTGGGTGCAGTCTGGAAGGTGGCTTTCATAGGATCTATGCACTGAAATGGAGAGAGAGCTGCCAATGGTGGCTCTGCTGGCATGGGATGGGCAGGTAGGAGGAGCTGGCGGTGGGCAAGGCCAGCAGGGAAAGCACAGACTGCTCTGGGTGGTATTTGCTTCTGGGCCCCAACCTGGCTTTGCCAACCTAGAGACCACTGAACTGAGAAGGGACACTACAAGTGGTTCTGTAGGTGGCAGCAGCCACTTCCGTGTGTGTGTCCAGTGGGGCTCTTCGTGCTTGTCCTGAAGCTGAGTGAGAATCGGATCCGCGTTCCACACACAAGTTCCCAGTAGGAACAGGGCCTCCTCTTCCTTGCTGCTTTGTGCTCTGTGGGTTTTCTCTATCCCTGCTGATGGTCCTCACCCCCCAACTCTGCGTGATTTACCTCTGACCCTGCGGTGGAGGGAGTGTGCCCACCCCGCCCCCCACCGTGGTTGGCACCTCATGCTAGAGGACACAGTGCCACCACTGCCCATCATCCACCTGCTCTGCATCTAGTGGTGGGGCAGACGCAGTGACCTGGGAAGTCATGCCCTCAGCGGGGTGTGTGTCTGTGTGTGCATGTGGGTGTCTTACTAATGACATTAGTCTCTTTTTACTGTGTCTTTAAAAATCTTTTAACGTGACAAACCTCGGTCTCAGAAGCACTGGGGCTGCCCGCTATCCCATTGGCAAGTGGCACTTTCTCAGACTGTTTCGAAAAGGATATAAAAACACTTTAACTCACTAAGCACGGTCAGGCTGAAAAACTTGTTCAGCTGGTAAACTTTTAGAATCTGAAATTAGATTGTTTTCAGTTATTCTTAAAACCATATGTCTCACTGGGCGAGGTGGCGCATGCCTTTAATCCCAGCACTTGGGAGGCAGAGGCAGGCGGATCTTTGTGAGTTTGAGGCCAGCCTGGTCTACAGAGTGAGTTCCAGGACAGCCAAAGATACACAGAGAAACCCTACTCTAAAACCAAAATAATAATAATAAAAAATTATAAAATACAAAAAAAAAAGCCCATAAAAACCATGTCTCAAAGGTGTGTCCTTAGCCCCTTGCCATGGGATCTCAGTCATGCAAATGAGTGTGCTAGAATGCAGATTCTCAGGCCTGCTGCCAGCCTTTTGGATCTGGCGCTTGCAGCCGGCTGGGCATCTGTGTTTTAGCCCTCTACCCCCACCCCCATGTGTCTGGAGGCTTTCTGAGGCAGTCCCTCATGAGGCCAAGGGAGCAGGAAGGAACCTGCCTGAGCTCACACCTAGGAGCACTGTGAGCTGGGGAGGACATCTGAGATGGGAGTTTTGTTTGTTTTGATCATCTTGAAGGATAAGTTTTATTTCTTTTTGATGGGCTAAAGTACTTGAGGAAAGTGCTTTCTTTGGCCCACGCTTATTTGTGACACTTTGAACATGAAAACCTTCCTCAGACCAAACACCCCTGATTGAGTTTAGGTACACATTGTCCACACGTCCCATGGTGCAGTTCATAAATGGCTGGAGTTCCAATTTCTCAGGTAAATAATTGTTTCCCCCAATTTTTGCCCTCCCCTTATTAGCATAAATTTTGAGGTAGTGTGAGACCTCAGTCTTCTGTGGGAGCCAGCTATCAGACTGCACCTCACCTACAACTGGCGACAGGTGCCGCTAGCTCCTGAAGTATCTCCTTGCGGGAGAAACTTGGCCAAGGTTGAGGTGCCCACTAGCTAGCTGTGTTCCCAACCCCACTGATAAGTAAGGTGTGCCTTGCTTTAAGCAAACTGAATGTGATTATGTTGTTATGCTCTGTATCCATTTGGAAGGGAAATTAGGGTGTGCCTGTCTCTAAGAGAGGCTGCCCGATCAGACTCCCATGCTGGGACTCTTCCTAGTATATTGTAGGATATTTACTTTTCAAAAACCAGTCATGACTTCAATCCCTTCACCACTTTGTGCACCATGCAGCAAATTCTGCCCGTGCTGATGAAGCAGTTCAAAACTCTAGGGAGACCGCTAGGCCCCATTGTGTAGATGAGCTCTTAATACTCTCAAAACTCCCATCCTGTCACTACGCGTTACCAGCCCAAGATTGTCTTAGTTCCCGTCGGCCCTGAAGCTCAGCCTACCTGTACTTCTAGAAAGGGGCTGTCTGGGGATGTCCTCACATGCACACTTGATACTATTTGGTCCATTCTGCTTTCCCCAGATTTGGCCTTCGCCACTCCTCACACCCACCAGCTTACTGGCCTCTAGGCCACAGGGCACTGCCAGTGGGGAGGCTGCTCCCTCCATGCTGTCTGCAGCTGACCCAACACCTGTTTTCCTAATGTTTACCTGTTACTGAGCGCTCAACAGAAAGACAGCCCCAGTGGTGGGGTTGGGCAGGGTTTTTGTTGTTGTTGTTAGATGTTATTTTATTATTTTTAAGTGCAAATGTTGCTATTTATTTTTTTCTCTCCTGCTCTGGTTTGATTCGGCTGAGTTGGCTGTCCCAATGCATGTGGTACCTGATGGACATGGTAGAGATTGTTTCCCCTAACTTTTATAAATGACCCAATGTTTACCTTCGGGCTTGCGGATGCTTTATTTTTGGAAGCCACAGATGTAGTTTTTCTGGATGAATTGTTTTTCTTATAGATGCGGCAGTATGCTTTTGTATTGATCTGCAGGGTGATTATAATTTTATTTTTACAAGCAGTTTTTCAATCAAATTCTATATTTGATACAATATGTTAAGGGTAGACCAGCCCTGAGTCATGCAGCTGGGACCCTTGAGTGTCCAGGAGGCCTTAGGGCTGGGTGACCTCTCTTGGCCCTGTGGTGGTAGCACTGGCTGGTCACAGGAACCTTCAGGGTCCTTCAGCATGTCCCTGACCTTTTGGATTGTTACAAGGATTTTTCATGGGCATTTTGCTACGCAGGCAGTGGACAATCCCCGTGGCCCTAGACAAGCCATAAGCAACCTTTCTGTGACCTCCCTGACTCATTTCTACACCCCTGAAAAAAGGAATGTGCCCTAAGTAGAAGTTACACTCCCTTGGTGTTCATATGCCTCATTTGCAAATGTAAACACTTTGTTTGTTTTAAGCCCTTCCCCACAGTAACCATGCTGCCTGGCTCACTGCAGGCAGTGTGCTAGCTCTGTTCTGGGTGCCCTGTTGCAGACCCGCTGGCTCCTGGAAGTTGCACTGATCTTGCGACAGTTTTCTTTACTGCATCCAACTCCATATCTGCTGTACTCGTTGAAGTGATTGTAAACAGATTCGCAGTGGCAGGAGTTGATGTTTATGTGGGACATTGCCTTGCTTCTGCGATCCAAACACACATTTCAGTATTATATGCTAGAGTGTGCAGACTGGATCTGTTCTCTCAAGCATTGTGGACTAGCCTTGTCTTGTTTTCGGACAAGAAGTTCTCCACCTCTGAACAGGACAGCATGCTCTTCAAGACCTGAAGGCTTGAATGTAAATGGATTAGTTAGGAGTCTTTGTGGCTCTTTTGGTCTGTTTAGTTTTCTTGTGATCTGCCAGGCTCCCAGAACTATGTCATTCTAGTTCCTGTGGCCTTTGTCAACTTGGATGACATCGGAATGGTCCAGCCAGTGTTAACGGGCCATCGCTGTATTTCTTTGACCGGCCCTCAGCTTAAAGTTGTGAGGTCACTGCTGTGTCAGACTGTCGTTTATGGTGCATGGATGGATGGCAGGGACATCTGAAGCCCAGTGCAGCCCCTCATGCCTTGTGACCCTGCTGGGTTCTAAGTACAGGCTCTCTCTAGTCAGCCCCACATAAACTGTCTGTGGTCAGGGTACCCAGTGTCTGAAACAAAAGGAGCTTTTACATTCAAACCGCAGTGTGTGTGTGTCTGTGTCTGTGTGTCTGTCTGTGTGTGTGTCTGTGTGATGTCAGTGCCATTGCAGAGCCCTCACCTTTTGTCTTTTGGGTTTGTTCTGCCATTTATTGTCTCAAGTTGAATGTATCGGCTTAGCCAAATCACTACAGAAGGTGGTTTCTCCAAACCTTTTAGACAGATGCATAAAAGCTACCTCTGACTTCTCATTGGTTTGTGTTTGCTCTGAAGCACCGCTATCCACACTGAATATAGCCAAAATATCGCCTGAATCAACCGAGTTGTGAATTCCTCTGTTCAGCTCTGGCTTGAAAATGTGTGTGCCATACTGTGATCTGGGGCGGCCCCCTCCGCTATCGCTGACCAGGGATAACCTCAGCACCGCCCAGCTACAAGATTCTAGCACCTGAGAGGCTGGCAGAAGGGCTTCTCTGCATGGGGAACGTACATCCTCCAGGCTGTTGGGAGCGACTCCGTGCAGGGCCACATGTGGCTGAGCCTGGAGGCAGCCTGTTCCTGCCTGGTTTTGCATCTTTCCCCCTGCTTGCTTACTTATGAATGGATTCCCTGCTCTCTCCTTCCTTTTTATACACTATAAACTCATAAAGGTGCTCCAACACCGACTTGTGCAGATAATGTATTTAAAGCGGTTGCATGGATTCAGACAGTACAGGCATAGCTGACCTTTGATCTTGGGTTTTGAAAGCGAAGGACTGAAAGCTCTGTGCTCTCGCCCTAGGCCCTCAGATGGAAGGAGTAATGGGCTCTGTTTGAGTACAAGTCCCCACTAGTGTTTGACAGTGCATGTCTGACTTAGAGGTTTGCCATGGGGACCCGCCACCTCTAACCAGATCTCTTGTGGTCGTCCACTTTGCTGTCCAGAAGGCCATCCTTATACATCATAGCTCTACCTTCATCCCTTTGGCCTCTCTCTTAAAGTTTTCTTGGCCTCATTTTGAAAAGTCAGCATAATAAGCTCCCAGATTCCTCCACTAATTGACTTAGGAAATCATGAGGACAGTTGGACAATGTCATGAAGGCCTGGGTATTGAGGGGCATGTGGAAGGGGCCTCTGCCAAATGTCTTTGCACCCCTCCTCTCTAGTTGTAATGCATTGTTGGGGGTGGGGTGTCACCTTCCATGCTTTTGGTGTGCGAGCATTTGTGGCACCCGGGTTATTTGGATCCTCTGTCTTGGCTGAGGGTTTGGTGAGAATCCAGGGAGGCACAGGGCTCTAGACATGCCTCACCCAGGTACAGTGATATGAGCCACAGTCCTCAGAGGGCACCAGCAAGAGGAACCTTCCCTCTTCTGGGGGATACCAAGCAACCCAAAGCCCTGGCCACTGCAGTCTTGAGGGCTAAAAGGTTGGAGGAGCTCCTGTTTTTGTACAGACAGTACCTTCTTCCCTGAGGGGTCACCAGAAAGCAAGCGTGGGAACCTTCCTCATTCAGTTCTTCCTGCCTCTTCAAGCTCCTTAACATCAGTGTGGTCACAAGAACACTTAACACCAGCTACCAGCAGAGTGAGGTATACCTGTGGGGACAGGTGGCTCCAGCCCTGCCTCCAGGCACTGGCTGTACTGTCTGGACACCCAGTCCACACCTTGCACCCTAAAGCCTGTTCCGCGGCGTCCTCCGAGTCTTGCAGGGGCTGATATTTAGTTGACCCTACCCGCGGAGCTCGGCACTCCTGTGATGCCGCCCTGCAGCCATAGAGGCACTCTTAGTCCCATCCTGGGTCATTTGTGCCCTCACACGCAGGCTTTGTTCTCTGCCCCTCAGCACTACCGTCTGTTGTATAGGAAGTAGGTTTAGAGGGAATTGGAATCGTGTCTTTGTGAATCTGTGTGACGTCCTCGGGCGGAAGGTGCTATTTGGTCCTAATGTTGTTTTGGAATGCTTTTTCATTGTTGTTACTCTGTTCTGTGACGTGGGGGCAGACTGCTCACTTATGTGTGGTGTCACTTAAACCGAAAACATAGGACTCCAGCTTTGACATGCCTGTAGTGGAATTCCTATCTCTGACCTTCTTGAGCCTGGGATGAAGCAGTTCCCTAGCCTGGTCTCATTAAAACCACCCTCCCTGTCAAGGGATGTTTTTGTTGGTTTTAACAGGGGAAGTGATCTGCTCTTTTTGGTTTGGTTTGGTTTTTTTGTTTGTTTGTTTTTTTGTTTTTTTTTTTTTTTGTTTTTCGAGACTGGGTTTCTCTGTGGCTTTGGAGCCTGTCCTGGAACTAGCTCTGTAGACCAGGCTGGTCTCGAACTCACAGAGATCCGCCTGCCTCTGCCTCCCGGGTGCTGGGATTAAAGGCTTGCGCCACCATCGCCCGGCATTTTTTTTTTTTAATTGCATAGAAAAGGCCTTTGCCTGTGAAGCACTGGCTGTGGGTGGATAATACATTAACAGTAACAATTTTGGTTCCTCTTTAAAACCAAATAGACCAATGTGATTAAACCCCGAAAGGGTACAATTCCCCATTAAATTGGAATTTGAGTCCTGCGTTTGGAAAAGAATTTTAGTGTAGTTGTTAAAAGTTAAGAATTTATAACTGTAGGAGCAAGTGAGTTTTTGTTTAACAACAACAAAAAAAAGGTTGTAAGAGAATAATTGTAGGCTTCTGTGCAACAAAGTGTCTACTGCCTCAAATGCAGGAAGAGAATGTAACCCTGAACCCAGACTCTTACCTCTCATACTTCAGATTACCTGCCTAATGTGTATTGAGGGGTTTAACCCTGTGTTTTTATCAGTTTTTTCTAGTTTTATTTTATTTTTATAAAGTAATTGAAAAAGAACCAAAAATGAAATGAATTCAAGAAGTTCCCCTGTGGCTCCTCACCCAGTCTTATCCCCTCCCCCCCCCCACACACACACTGAAGCATTTTTTGAAGACATTTTGAATCAAAATGTATTACATCCATTTAACATTTGCTACTTTCTGAGAAGTGGAGTGGCTCCAAGGGCCTGTTTCAGGTGGTACTCTGTATGTCATGGACATGTTTGTACCTGTACAGTGGATCTGTGTGACGATGTCTTGTGCTTGCGGTTTAGAAACCACGCAGTGCTGTTTTGTAAATTGACAGTTCCTGTGTAAACTATTATTTATGACCCTTGGCCCCTCTGTATAATTTTTCATTTGCTACATGGATTGTATAATTAATTATAAAATTATAGTACCTGCTAAACCCAACTTTGAGGCTTCATGTCATTGTCTTCAGTCTGATGCCAGTCTGTGGATCGTCAGGATGCCCAGGCCTTGCTTGATACCAGTAGTGATGTCACTTTAAATTAAGCCTTAATCAGATAGTGAATTTGTACATTTCAGAGTATGCAAAAAATAAAAAATGAAATAGGCAGATGCGTTTCAACTGTCCAGATCCAGATGCTCAATCGTAACTCAGCACGTGCTCCCTCTGGAGTTAAAGGGGTCGCTGCCAGGGTTACATTCCTCCCTCATCTGTGCTCTCCGTCTTGGCTTGATGGGAACAGGTCGGTCATGCACGTTTCTGTACCGGTCTGGCTAGAGACCTCGGCAGGGTCATCTTCAAACGCCTGGTTCTCTCCTCCAGTCTGAGATGAGCCTTGGCTGCTGGGAACACGACTGAGGCATAGGTTTTCCCAGCCTGCTCCTAGGCCAGGCTCTCAGCGGGCACTGCCACCTGTCACTGCTTCTGCATAAATCACAACAGATTTTTGTTTCTGTAAAAGCATCTTCAATCTTGGGATAAGATAGAGGGGACCCAGCTTTCTTTACAATGTGGATCTACCTCAGTTAAACAGTTGGGTGCTATTTACTAAGTCTGTCAAATTAAATTGGAAAATGTAACCAAACAGTGGGACGTAACTAACTCCACATGAAACTTGAAATCGTTTCCGTTTATTTAATGATATTTTTTATTTATTTTGTGCCTTTTCTGTTAACCCTAATACATTTTTGAAATTCAGAATAGTCATTTTTCTCTCGCAAGTGGGGAGCCCTGCCTGATCATGCCAGTATCCCATCTGACTGCTCTCGTTGTTACTGGGATCCCAACCTGCCTTTTTTGAAAAGGGAGGGGAAAAATATGTCCAAGAGCAAATTTTACACAAACAATATTCACATAACATACCCCAGCTATTCTATGCATGTGTTCATAGCTGTCACTTCCATTTCTGTGCCATTGAAGAGGCACACACACCCACAAACAGACACCCCAAGTACTTGTTTCTGCTTTTTTTTTTTTTTTTTTTTTTTTTTTTTTTTTTTTTCTGACCGTATCCCTCTTCCTCTGGCATGTTTTGTATAAGACTTTATTTCATAAACAGCAAATGGACTGTTGTCGATTCCATCTCCTAGTTTGTATGGTGGAAGTGCTAAACACCACGGGCACTGGAGGGGGCATGCCCGTGGCCGTCTGGAGGCCAGGCTGGAGGTGGGGAAGGTGTGCGCTCTGTGGCAGCCCATGGTTTCTGAAGTCAGGAACATTTTTTGATGGGTAAGAAAATAAAATCGGAGATCGATGACTTTCCACACTTTTATATTTGGCAGTTTACAATTCTAGACTTTTCCTACTATGGCAATCTTTTTTAACAGTTCTTTGGAGGTAACACAATATTTTGGAGTCTTATGAATTTGATTTTATACCAATCAGAAATAAAGTTAGGAATCTTTCCTGTAGTGTATAGTCTTAGTCTTTTAAAGAGATCTCTGGATTTTAGAAGAACCAACTGTACTTGGTGGCAAGACTCCAAAAGGTGATTTGGGAAACACCCGCTCCCCCTTTTCTCTACCTCTCCCACCCCTCCCCTTTGCAGGATCTCAAAGGAAAACAAGTAAGAGAAGGGATGATTCTCGTTAGACGTGTGTGGGTTTGGTTTGGTTTTGAAGCTTCCATCAGGTTGATACGTAAGCTATATTTTATAGACTAAATCCCCCTTTAGTATGCTGCATATGGATATGAAGCTCAGAGTTGTTGCACTTTCTCTGTAATCAATGCCCTACAATTGGCTTGCCGGAAGCATTTTATTTTAACCTGACGAGTACTTTGGGCAGGTGATGAAATTAACATAGGTACCTCAAGTCAAAGACCTGCGTGTGCTGCGTTTTGGTTTGTTGTTTTGGTGGGTTTTTTGGTTTTCTTTTTAGTTTGGGGTTTGTTTGTTTTTTTTAAGCTTTTCTATGTAGCATTATATTTTACTTGTTTTGATATTATACTTTCTGGACCCCATCAGTCTGTTGAAAGAAAAACCCAAAAAGTTAGTATCCTCCTTTTTTCTCCCTGCAGTATGTGGTTCTAAAGGTAACCCTACATTAGGAATCTTTCCCCAAGCACACTGAGGAAAAGGGTACTACACATCTCAGCAGGCCGCGCCGCTCAGATCTTTGTGTTCATGCTGCTTCCTCGGTTTCCTTCTCCACATCACCCAAGGGTGGGTACCTTCAGTGCAAAGTTGTGGCATCTTAACTTTCACACACAGACCTCATGGGTGTCCGTCCTTTGAGTCAGTAGCATGGCCCTAAAGGCACTGACAGGGTGCAGCCGCTGGGCAGTCTGGCCTTGGAGCGGCTACCGCCTTTCATGTCTTTCTTTCTCAGCAGCCGCTGGGCAGTCTGGCCTTGGAGCGGCCGCCTTTCGTGTCTTTCTTTCTCGGCACTCACCCACATTGACCTGGTTGGGTGGTCTGCATGGACAAGACAGCTGGTGAGAAAAGCTGAATGCTGAGACACCGTGCATCTCTTGTCGTGTTTAAGCTTAGCTGGGTCCTTTCAAGTTTGTTTTCACAGCTTACTAGGTTAAATAGTTTGCACTATTTTTGCAATAAATTCATGGGAAACCTAACAGCTACTTACGTTGTTCTTACTGTGTGTATAAACTAATACTGAAAGTTTGGTATAGTGTTTTTCACCTCCTTCTGTAGTCCCCCTAACATGCACAGAATGCTGTAAATCTGATAAAATATGTGAATGATATTTTATAAAGTTATTTTGTATGGTGTCAATTTTGTTTTGCCGCATAGTATGTCAGCAAAAAATAAATAAAATTCCTCATATTTACAGCTGCCTATTCCAAAGATGTCTAGTTACTGTCTCCCTTGAGAGCACTGGCAAATGCACAAGCTGAGTCCAGTGTCCCTGGCAGAGTGCATCCTTCCCCTGTTCCGCAGAGCTCTGTACCACCCAAGGACCAGAAGTGTAGGGTGTAAGAGAGCTGGGGTGTCTACACCAGCAGCACAGAGAGACATGAGAAGTCATTCAGTTGAGCCCGCCATGAGCAAGGCTCTGATCTGAGCTCCAGACTGTGAAAACTGACACCTGATTTTTTTCCCCCTGCATGAAGCTAGCTAGCTCTGTTGACCTACGTGGTGTAAACGTGGTGGTGCTCTCAAGTCCCTGGAAGCCTCTCCAGTATGACTGAAAAGTGAAGGTGGTGTCAGAAAAAGGGGGGTGGGAGGACTCAGGCAACTAAAAGTCCCTAGAATGAACTGAACATTTGCTGTGGCAGACCTGTGACCACAGCAGCAACAGGCAAATGACTCCTAATGCTCTGCTTTGTTCATCCAGTCTTTTCAACTGGAACAGTGGTTGCCAGGGTAACATGGGGATGGAGATGCTGGAAAGAGAATCATTTTTAAAAACAGATGTGGAAGGTAAAGTAGACAGGATCTTACTGTCTTTAATACCAGCACATAGGCAGAGGTAGGGAGATCTCCGAGTTCTAGGCCAGCTAGGGCTACACAGTGAGACCCTGAAGGGGAAAGAAGAAACGTCATTAGCATGTAGAGGCAGAGATTAACCAAGGGTGGCGTGGAAATATTTGGGGTGTTTTGTGTATTGAATAGTGAGCAAGACTGACAGGCCCTTATAATATACCCTGATTTTTGGGATGTTGAGGCAGGATTACAAGTACCAGGCCAGCCTTGGCTACATATGCAAGACTATTCAAAAAAAAAAAAAAAAAAAAAACCTCCCCAGTGTTCAGCAAACACAGAAGACTTTTTTCAGTTGCATGGGATTGATGAGCTGGGCTCTCCTCTGGGAATGGGGCAGCTACGTACATGTTGCTGCTGTTTGTTTTGGTGCCCAGAGTCCAGTGGCCCTATGCCTGCTAAACATGAACTCTGTCTGGTTCATATCTCCAGCCAGAAATGCTAACTCTGAAATTTCACAAAATTATCAGTAAGACATCAGAAAAAGCAAAGAACCTAAATTTACTCCAATAAAGCATGTTACTGTAAAATACATACAGACCTTTAATGGAAAAAGAAAAGCAAATTCTGTACAATAAAAATGCATAGTCCATTTCTTAAAAAATACAAAAAATTCAAAGGTAGCACAATGTACATGAGCTACATGTGTAGCCATTTGTGAGAACAGGTGTCCCTGGCATCAGACAGCTGACATGGATCTTCCAGGTCCTCCTGCAAGTTCAACATGAAGCTCAGGGGTATGTGCTGCTGTACCCAAAGCCACAGCAGTGCCATCTGCCCATGGCTCTTTCCTGCTAGGAGAGGAGATGGCTCCAGTCCTTCCCACTGCAAGAGGGAATACAACCTCCAAGTCTGCTAGTGGCCGCCACTTCCCAGCTGTGAGTCTGTCCTTGCGCTTCTCACGGGACTCACTCGGAGCACTTCTTGCTGGCTTAAGCCAGTACTTCACCAATGTCACTTTCCTCACCATCATTTTCTTCTTCCTCTTCTTCCCTCTTCTCTTTGAGCATTTTCAGGTACTTACTAGCTAAAATCTTCTTTGGTAATATATCTTTAAAAAACAGGAAGTATGTCAGTAATTGCTTATGGTGAACTATGAAACAATTTCAAAATGTACTAGTTCCAACTTAGAATACCTTCTAAAGGAGATGGAATCACAGAAACGGGTTGTTTTCTGGTGCATGCTAATACAGACCTGTTCACATTCCACAGCTGGACAGTGCTTCTCTGACCTGATTTGTGACCCACCCTGTCCAAGCAAGCTGAGGAAGGATGGACTGGCCCCTGGGCTAGACAAAGCTCTTTCTATCCATGGCTGCATGTACCAGTTGCTGTTGGTGTGTGGGGGAACAGGACAAAGTACACAGCTCTGAGCGAGTCTGCTAGTCAGCCAAGCATCTTGTATACACTGCCAACTTCTACAGTTCATGGGGGGCTCAAACAGAGAATGCCACAAACTCCTTCCTGTGCTAGGTCAGATAAACCGATAGAGACAATAGCGGGACAAAAAACCTCACTATGCATATTTTTTGTTTGTTTTTTGTTTTTTAAACCAGAAAGTCCCAAAGACTAGGTACCTGCGAGAAACTGAAGGGTCTCCGAGTCCTCTGCAGTGCTGGCTAAGTCACTGTATGTCAGTGCTTTCTTGGCTTTACCACTGCCATGTCTGTAGGAACAGGTGGCTAGATACTGAACAAAGAGTTCCTAAACCAACAACAACAAAAAAAATCAAATGAAAGGTCAACTTTGAAAACTTGCCACAGACTTTCTAAGCTTAAAATTCCATTAATACTTCTGATTATCTTGGTTCCTCAAATTAAATTACAGGAAATCAGTTTAGAGGAGAAAGAAACATGAGATCAGAAAAGAAGCATGCCTGGGTAGAGCAGGAGGCAGCAGGCAATTTCTAAGCTGAGCTTAGGTGTGCAACACGAACAATACTTACAAGTGATCATGAACAATGGCTCTGGTTTCAGGGGAGTGCTGTGGTGCACACATATCATGCCAGCACTCTGGAGGTGGAGGCAGGAGGCACAGGAAAGCAAGGGCAGCTATGGATACAGCACAAGTTCCACTCGGGCCAGTCTGAGATACAGGAGCTATCTGAAACCGGTGGTGGGGGTGGGGTGGAGTGTCCCCAGCCACTACAATAAATGGAGCGAACATTCAAAAATTCTGCCTGCCAACGATTTTATTTAGCTTACAGTTTATTGAGACAAAGTCTCACCCTGTAATCCAGACTAGCCTTGAATTCCTGGAGATGCCCCTGCCTCAGTCTCTCAAGTGCCTGGATTACAGATGTGAACTCGCACATTATCTGTATCTCAGAAACACATTTTCAGTCTACTTGAATCCCTTGTGGAAGGGTGTTCACTCATAACTATAGTAAAATCCAACAACCTCAAGCTGAAAAGTGACATCTTAATTGCCGATGTACTCTGGGGGGGACCTGACAAGACTCAGAAATAAGGTAAACTGAGCCCTTCCCAAGGTTCAGCTAGGAAGGGATGAAAGAAGCGTCTGCATAGTTCTTAGATCCT